CTATCCTATACAGCCAAGGAAGCTGCCATCTTAGCCACTGTTTGATCTGCAGTTGTCATTGTGCTGCACATGTGATCAGTTATGACACTAGCCATTTGATGGCTTGACAGTTCGTTTGAGAGCACAAGCAACTGTGACAGTTATCATTCATGGCATGCCTTGAATGTAAGGGCTCATTCAGATATGCAACTACAGGGTGTTTGACATATTAATCTAATAGAACCCAAATGTCTCCATTAAGAGTACCTGCAGGGGTGGACTGACAACTCATGGGGCCCCCGGGCAATAAGGGATCATGGAGCCCCTGTGTCCTTGCCCAAACTCAAAAAAGCCTATGAAAAAGGTACCAGAGGCATCTCATGGGGCCCCCTACTGACCCCCGGGCCCTCGGGCGAGTTTCCAAATGGTCAGTCCACCCCTGAGTACCTGTCACCTGCCTAAACAATTCACATAGAGCACTTGTTAGCCTCCTTCTAATGACAATAAAGAAAAAAAAAGTGTAAAAAGAAAACAATTGTATAAAATAAATAAATTTTTTTTATAGCACCCCCGTATACACCCCATTTAAAAAGAGCAGCGTGTGCACGGCTATGTAACATAAATTGTGCCACACATGTGCGGCATCATCACAAACACAAGAGTTAGAGCAACAATTCTACGGCCATAGTTTGCAGTTAACTCTAAAGTGATGGCCTGTAAAGGCTTTTGGAGAAAGGCACCTATGGAGAATTTTGGGTACCATTGTTTTTTGTGACTCCACAAGTGTGCGCAATTTTAAGATTTGACGTGTTTGGTATCTATCTATGCAGCACAACCCTGTTTTATATGTTACCAAAATTGGGTATAATATTGTGTGTGTTTGCGCTTTAATTCATTTCAGTGTATTTTCTTCTAAAAATAGGTGTTTCATAAATAAATGTGCAAATATCGTGCAACATAAAAAAATTGCAACTACTGCCATTTTATTCTCATCTCTGATTTCAGGAAATATTTTTTTGTAAGGGTTTACTGTACTTTCTAGAAAAAAATGCAGATTTTAACGTGTGCAAAAAATGAAAAAAGCGCCCCAGAAGACAAGCGGTTACGGGCCCGTTTACTACTCCTTATGTTGCAGCAAAGCTTGCCCCACAATGCACTTTAATGTTGCTGGCTGCTGGAAGATCTATTGCTCCGGGAGGGGGGTATGGGGTGTCATATGTTACTTGGTGATCAATTGCTGCTGGGAGAGATCTACTGTTAAAAGGAGGAGTCTATTATTGCTGACTGCTGGAAGATCTATTGTTGGGGTGAATCTATTGTTGCTGGGCGGAATTTTGTTGTGGGGGGTGTCTATTGTTGTAGGGGAGGATTTATTGTTGCAAGGGGTCTATGGTTGCTGGAAGGTCTATTGTTACCTACTGCAGGGGATCTATTTTACTGCCTTTCATTTAAAAATTCCATACAAATTAAGTAGCACCACAACATGACACTTGGTTCTGTATTCTCTAAAAAGGGCGGTGCTCGGAGGTGGGTAAGGGGTGGAACCAAGGTACGGTGCTCGGAGGTGGGTAAGGGGTGGAACCAAGGGACGGTGCTCGGAGGTGGGTAGGGGGTGGAACCAAGGGATAGTGCTCAAAGATGGGTAGGGGGTGGAACCAAGGTACGGAACTCGGAGGTGGGTAGGTTGTGGAACCAAGGGACAGTGCTCAGATGTGGAACCAAGGCATGGTGCTCGGAGGTGGGTAGGGGGGTGGAACCAAGGGACGGTGTTCGGAGGTGGGTAGGGGGTGGAACCAAGGGACGGTGCTTGGATGTGGAACCAAGGGATGATACTTGGAGGTCGGTAGGGGGTGCAACCAAGGGATGGTGTTCGATGGTTAGGGGGTGGAACCAAGGGATGGTGCTCGGCAATCGGTAGGGGGTGCAACCAAGGGATGGTGCTCGGAGGTGGGTAGGTGGTGGAACCAAGGGATTGTGCTTGGAGGTGGGTAGGTGGTGGAACCAAGGGACGGTGCTTGGATGTGGAACCAAGGGATGGTACTCGGAGGTCGGTAGGGGGTGCAACCAAGGGATGGTGCTCGATGGTTAGGGGGTGGAACCAAGGGATGGTGCTCGGCAATCGGTAGGGGGTGCAACCAAGGGATGGTGCTCGGAGGTGGGTAGGTGGTGGAACCAAGGGATGGTGCTTGGAGGTGGGTAGGTGGTGGAATCAAGGGATTGTGCTCGGAGGTGGGTAGGTGGTGGAACCAAGGGATGGTGCTCGGAGGTGGTGGAACCAAGGGACGGTGCTCGGAGGTGGAACCAATGGACAGTGCTCGGAGGTGTGGAACCAAGGGACAGTGCTCGGCAGTGGGTAGGGGGTGGAACCAAGGGACGGTGCTTGGATGTGGAACCAAGGGATGGTGCTCAGAGGTGGGTAGGGGGTGGAACCAAGGGACAGTGCTCAGAGGTAGGTAGGGGGTGGAACCAAGGGAACGGTGCTTGGAGGTGGGTAGGGGGTGGAACCAAGGGAACGGTGTTTGGAGGTGGGTAGGGGGTGGAACCAAGGGAACGGTGCTTGGAGGTGGGTAGGGGGTGGAACCAAGGGAACGGTGCTTGGAGGTGGGTAGGGGGTGGAACCAAGGGAATGGTGTTTGGAGGTGGGTAGGGGGTGGAACCAAGGGACGGTGCTCGAAGGTGGGTAGGGGGTGGAACCAAGGGATGGTGCTCGGTGGTGGGTAGGGGGTGGAACCAAGGGACGGTGCTCGGAGGTGGGTAGGGGGTGGAACCAAGGGAATGGTGCTTGGAGGTGGGTAGGGGGTGGAACCAAGGGAACGTGTTTGGAGGTGGGTAGGGGGTGGAACCAAAGGACAGTGCTCGGAAGTGGGTAGGGGATGGAACCAAGGGACAGTGCTCGGCAGTGGGTAGGGGGTGGAACCAAGGGACGGTGCTTGGATGTGGAACCAAGGGATGGTGCTCAGAGGTGGGTAGGGGGTGGAACCAAGGGACAGTGCTCAGAGGTAGGTAGGGGGTGGAACCAAGGGAATGGTGCTTGGAGGTGGGTAGGGGGTGGAACCAAGGGAACGGTGCTTGGAGGTGGGTAGGGGGTGGAACCAAGGGACGGTGCTCGAAGGTGGGTAGGGGGTGGAACCAAAGGACGGTGCACGAAGGTGGGTAGGGGGTGGAAGCAAGGGATGTGCTCAAAGGTAGGTAGGGGACTCAGAAAAAAGCCCTGATTTTGTCCAACCCATATATATATATATTATTTCTGGTTGCTGTGCCTTCTGTAACTATGATCTGCACTCTTTGCAATGACACCCTGAACACTCCCACAATTCCGGCACCTATAGAGCTCCCCCATCCATCGCAATACAACGATCACCCTGCCTGGACGGCTACGTGCCTCTAAGGTCTTCGTCTTATACTGCCAGCGGTGCGGTCACATGATGCAGTACCGGTCATGTGATACTCTTCACCTCGCAGCAGAGAATTCCTTGCCAGCAGCGAAGGCTGAGAGGCAGCACGCCACGTGTCTGAAAGTCGTACTCTGATTGGACAACGCTCTCTTCCCCGGAGCTCTCGTTGTAGCTCGGTAGAAACGTGATAGGGAAGCGGGAGACGGGAACAGCGAAGAGAAGGAAAATAACGGGAATCCTTGAAAGAACAAAGTTCTGTTTTTTAATGGACTGCTCACCGGGAGGTAGATGTCAGCTGACGCTTCGTTGAGGTGAGCTGTAGACGGGTGGTCACGTGATGACTGCCTCTCATGCAGTGCAGCCCGGAAGGCGTCAGTGTTATCATTTTCCAGCTTTCTGAGTAGCTGATAACATCTGATAGGTTGCTATGGTGATCTGAAGTCACAGGAAGATGGCAGAACCACAATCCCACTCCAGGACGCTGTTCGTGACCCAGGACGGTGTGCCCATGCGGTTCTATGTCCGGCCGGGGCCCAGCAAGCGGCAGCTGGCCCCCCTCATCACACAGGGAGGAGGCGTGGTGTGTCGTATCCAGGAGCCCGGGGCATTCCTTCTGGCTGACCCCGCTGAAGGCCAACTTGGCCCTGGCTATATCTCCAACTCCTACATTACTGACTGTGTCAGCAGCAATCGCAACCTTTCTCCCCGGGCTTACCGGCTACTGCCTGTTGGGGGCCTGATGACTGGAACGGGCCTATGGAGAAGCTTAACTTCTAGGCTGGCTGCTGCCCAATGGGCCCCTAGAGAGAATGAGGACCACAAAGGAAGACCTACTGTTGTTCCGACTAACAACGGGGAGGCTGCTCTACAGGGCCAACGGGAAAATGGCAACACTTCAGTGACCACCAGAGATGGGGAAACTAGAGAGAGAGAGGACAACATGGAGGAGATGGGAAATCTTAGCAAAGAGTGTGCTCGGGAAGATGAGGAGGACCTCAAAGGAAGTTCAACTGTTGACCCAACCAACAAAGAAGAGGATGGCATACAGAGCGATAGTGAAACCTGCACCTCTATGATAGCTACCATGGAAAAAGAAGCAACTGGGGAAAAAGAGTACAATAAAGAGAAAAAGGGGATTACTAGCCATAAAAGGGTCCTCGAAGATGAGGAGGGCCACAAAGGACGTTCTATTGTTGACCTCACCAACAAAGAAGAGGTTGGCATACAGTACAGTAGTGAAACTACCTCAATGGTGGCCACCACAGAAGAAGCAACTAGGGGGGGGGAGAGGGCAATGAGGAGAAGAAAGGGTTTACTAGCCCTAATAGGGATCCTGGAGATGAGGGCCACAAAGGAAGTTCTACTGTTGACCTGATCAATAAAGAGGTCGGCATACAGGGCAATAGTGAAACCTGTATGGTAGCCACCACAGAAGAAGCAACTAGGAGAGAGGGCAATGAGGAGAAGAAAGGGTTTACTATCCCTAATAGGGCTCCTGGAGATAAAGAGGGCCACAAAGGAAGTACTACTGTTGACCTGACCAACAAAGAAGAGGTCGGCATACAGGGAGGTAGTGAAACCTGCACCTATATGGTGGCCACCACAGAAGAAGCAACTGGAGGGAGAGAGGGCAATGAGGAGAAGAAAGGGTTTACTAGCCCTAAAATTATTCATGGAGATAAGGAGGGCCACAAAGGAAGTTCCACTGTTGACCTGACCAACAAAGATGAGGCCTTCATACAGGGAAATAAGGAAACCTGCTCCTCTTTAGTGACCACCACAGAAGAGGCAACTGGGGAGAGAAAGGATAAAATGGATAGAATGACTATGGCCTCTCGAAAAGATATGGATCACAGCATCAAAAGCCCTGCTTCAAAAAAAATCCCTACCAAGCCAGCCTCTGAGTGTGGAGATGACCTGAAAATGGCTCTGTGTACGTCTTCTAGTGATATCACCTGTATGGAAGCAGCCACTGGAGATAATAGGGACAACAAGAATACTGAGGGAACTACTGCTGCCCACAGTACATCTTCTAGAGCTCAAACAAAGTCACCTACCTTAAGCAAAATGGATGTAGAACAAACTATTAATGTGGATGAGAACTATAGTACACTAGATGTTCCAGATCCTAGAACCAGCACACCAGGTCCTGGGAACCCTAATACTGTTAAGGACTTAGTGGTTGATACAACAGTTGACAGTGCCCTCTTGAAAGTTGGAGAATCTAATTGTGAGACACAGTTTAGGAGGCCCGAAAAGGAAAGTAGCAAGCATAACTAGGTTTGGCGTTGGAGAAAACCAGCATAATCCAAACATGAAGCAAAGGAGAGCTGAGAAGAAGACAGAAGAAAAACCCAGGAATGTGACACAAATGTCTGTTGACGAGAAGCACTGTGGTCAGGCAGTGGAGAGTCACAATGCTGAATCCCCAGCTGGGCAGTTGGAGCATACTGTTGAAGCAGAGACTGGTTCCCAAAAGAACACTGCCAAGGAACTGGACGGACAAAGCCAGCAGATTCAGTCAGTTATTCCACTTCAGGTTCATAAGCCTGCTGCTGCCCTGCGACAAGGGAGAATGGCCTTCACGAAAGAGGAAGACATAGCCATATTGATCTATATTCGAGATAATGCTTCCTCCAGCTGTACTGTTACTGGCAATCTACTGTGGAAGGATATGGAGAAGAAAAAGGTGCTTAGCAGGACCTGGCAGGCCATGAAAGCACGTTATGTAAAGTACATTGTTGATCAAAAGCATAAGTACAAGTTACCTCCCAAATGCTCTACTCTTCCAAGTAAGGGCTGTAGTTCAAAGAGAAAGCAAGGATCTGATAAAACTAACAGTTCATGGCTTAACTGTACTTCGACCTCCACTATGACTCCAAAGAATTGTGATACCATCCATCCCAGGGCCTCAACTGTTATCCCTCAGAATTGTGATACCACCCAACCCAGTGCTCCAACTGATATCCCTCAGAATTGTGATACCATCCAAACCAAGGCTTCCAATGATATCCCTGAGAATTGTAATGCCACCCAACTAAGTGCCTCCAATGATATTCCTCAGAATTGTGATATAATCCAACCCAATGGCTCAGCTGATATCCATCAAAATTGTGAAACTAACCTATCCAGTGCCTCAGTTGAGAATTGTGATCCCACCCAACCCAGTGCTTCAGCTGATATCCCTCAGAATTGTGATACTATCCTACCCAGTGGCTCAGCTGATATCCCTCAAAAATGTGATACTAACCTAAGCAATGCCTCTGCTGATATCCCTCAGAATTGTGATTCCACCCAACCCAGTATTTCTGCTAGTATCTCTCAGAACTGTGCTACTACCCAACCCAGTGCTTCTACAGGTACCCTTCAGAGAAATTACACTATGCCTCCTACTGGATCTTCTATTACCCCTCAGAGAGCTAACACCATGCCATCCACTGCTTCTGCTGTTAACCTTCAAAAATGTGTCACCATGCTACCCAGTGCTTCTACTGATACCCTTCTGAAAAATGACTCTATGCTGCCCACTGCTTTTGCTGTTACCCCTAAAAAACATAACACCATGCTACCCAGTCCTTTTGCTCATACTCCTCAGAAAAGTGATGCTATGCTACCTAGTACCTCTGCCGATACCTATCTGACTTGCAGTGTTACACAGCATGGAGCCTTTACTTCTGCTAATAGCCTGGTGACTAATATTGCCTCAAAAGAACAATCCATTTCAACACTCGAGAAGAGGTCATCTGATCCAACAAATGATGAGTCTCCACCTCAAAAGAAAGGTGTGGATTTAAGCCCCGGTTGCATAACTTCAGTTTACCACATTAAATGTCTTTAATGTGAACCTGGACTAAGCAAAGTAACAGGTTTTCTTGATAGCAGCACCAGAAGGAGTTAATATTTGCCTTTCCATATCCAACACTTTGACATCCAGTTGCCACTTGCTCAGACCTATGCAGGTTTCCCCTGTTCCCATGCAATAGCACTCATAGTTGGCTTTTGGGTACTGGGCACGGCACTGTGAGAAGCAATGGGAGTGTCCTCTGTACTTAGAAGTAGCGTTTTTGTTTTTTTATTTTATGTTACAGCGTTGGATGAGCATGGAAAAGGTAAATATTAAATCACTGGTGTCTGCTATTAAGGGAATATGTTACTTTTCCTAGTTCAGGCAAAGCACAAGCTCTCTTTAACAGCCCAAGCCTGTCCCTAGTAATATGGTGCCCCATCCCTGCGTATACACATAGTGAGGGCTTTAGTGTTTGAGTGTTGAGAACTTTCCTTGCAAAAGGCTTTCAAGCAGATTTAATTCCCCCCCCAATTTAACTTCAGCAGGCTTTCTAAAGATCTGACTGCCCATTGGTTCTTTCATCACACCACCTGGTCTTGTCCTGGGCAATGTTTAATGTACAGTAGAATCTTTCAGTCATGACCATCACATCTCCAGAAGACTGGCATCAGAAGAAGGAAAACGTCTGTTTAACATTCTCTGCGTTAAGGTGCTAACGGACGTAAAATAATTGTCAACCAATATTAGTCAGATCTCATGAGGAGTTTTAAAGCTGTTTCTGCTCTGCTGAATTCAGCAGCTACCTAGAGATGAGAAACCATTTGGTCAGTGGTTTCCAATTCAGTCTTCAAATACACCCAACAGGCCAAGTTTTGGGAATTCTCCTTGGATAAAATAGTTCTCATGAATATTAAGCCATTGTTGTTGATTTAAAGCACCTGTGGAGGGTGGAGTAAAGACTGAAAACATGACCTGTTGTGGGGGTACTTGAGGACTGAAGTTTGGAAATCACTGATTTAGGGCCCATTCACACTTGTGTGACTTGTCATGCGACTTTGGACATGACAAGTTGCAGCCCATTGTTTGCAATGGCACCCATTCAGATCGGAGTGACTTAAAGTCGCAGCTTTTTTGAAAAGGCCTGCACTACTTTGGTGTGACTTTGGTAGAGAGAGTGTAAAGTCACACTGAAGTAAATGCAACTTTGGAGACGTTCTTATGTGAATGGAGCTTAAGACTGAAGGAAGTGGCTCTCCAAACACCTCTGAAAATGATAGTGGCTGCACAAGGTTTTCTGAGCTGTGCACTGCTCCTCCAATAATCTTTGGCCTCTGAGACATGATATTATCTCCCGGTCCAGTCATTGTGGATGGTCATCTAATACCTCTAGGCTTCCTTTAGAACTTTTACCAGATCTTGGGGAAAAAAAATTCTAATTGCTATGCCCCCTTAACCTCCCTAGCGGTCTGATTATGTCCATATTTCTGTGCTCAAAGCGGTACATTTTTTTGCATGGCAATATGTATTTTTTTTTATTGTAGGCCTGTAATTCTTAGGAATAACTCACTGAAATCTGTCCGAACAAGAGTCTAGTAAACATCCCGGGTATGTTAAAATTTGAAACACGAAATCATAAATTATAATTTAATAAATAGTCATTAAAAAAATAATATAATAAATTTAATTCAATAATATAATCAAACCAAATACACTGAAATGTGAAATAGAGCACCAAGTTCGCACATTGCTGAGCAAAGTCGCAGAATCGTTTTCAGTGTCTGATGACGAATTTCCCCCACGAATCATTATCACTCAATTCTGCAAGTGGTTCTGATTTACCATCGCTGTTCTCTAGCCGGTCTAAAACCGCTTTTGACCTAAAGGGACGCTCGTTGAGTGGCATGGACTTTTCTCAGTTTCCAGGCAGAAAGAACAGTAAAAATGCAGGCAGGGCGCAGGACAAAGCACTCGGGACAAAATGTATGTGAAATGGTTTGATACAGTAATGTTATACTATGTGATTTTAGTGAATGTCACTTTTTGTCATTTTCAGATACCCCGCCAGTTCCGTCCCCCGTACGTCCCGACGTCGCTGGGGACGGAACCCAGATGACAGATGCCGGCATCCGCCGAAGGACATTACAGGGGACACTGCAGGAGGGACATCGCGGGGGAGCGCAGGACAAGGTAAGTGATTGAGGGATCGCGGAGCAGCGCCGCATGGTATTCCTGAGTGTAGCTCGGGGTTACCACTTGTGGTACTGAAACTTTACCCCGAGCTACACTCGGGAATACCGCCAGGGAGGCTACAGTAAGATGTAACTATTACTGTTAACATGCACATTTTGGGGGTGATTTAGTAAAACTAGAGCACTCAAAATCATGCAGTTGTGCATGGTAGCCAATCAATTTATACCTTCAGCTTCTTCAATTAAGCTTTGGCATTAAAACCTGGAAGCTAGTTGGTTTCTATGCAGAGGTGCACCAGATTTTCCACTCTCCATTTTTAGTAAATAACCCCATATGCCTCCCTACTGTATAGGCTCAAATATAAACACTTTTGCAGGCAGAGTTCTCTTGTTTCAAAATCTGGCCCAAATAGGCATCTTCGAATGATAGAATGGTGTCTCGATTTCTGCTGGTGCTCTACTTTCTATGGCCAGGTATAGACTAATTAAAAATTGTGCTTCGAGAAACCTGAGCTCACTTTTTTTTTTTCTCTCTGTGCCTGTCAGGTAATAAAATGCTGACTTCTCATTCACCCAAGACTATTCTACCAGATAGAGAAGACTCCAGTGATTTGGACGATCTACATATATTTGAAATTGCAAACATGGAATTTGAGGTATGTTATGCTACCTTCCTCTGAATTTATCAACACCACTGTGCAGTGATTAGCCCTTGTCATTAGAGCGGCCAAACACTACTTTAAAGCGGAGCTCCACCCAAAAGGTGAAGTTCCACTTTAAGGACTGCTCCCCATTACGAATTGGCACCTTTGCAAACCCAGCACTATGAATTCACTATATCTGGTCTCCCACAGGACACAGAACATGGAATTGCCATTATTTTAGTAAATTTAAACTGCTAAATACCTTTTCTCATCAGCAGTATATAGCAGTCTTGTGACTTCTATCAGTGTCCAGCTGAGCACTGGTTAAAGCTTGGAGGAGTTTTCATTCTCCTCTGACTGTCCTATGAGGCTGCATAACCCCTGACCCTCTGTCTGGACAGTGCTGATTGGCCCTGTGCTGGTCACATGCACCCCCCCCAAAGAAAAAAAACTCTAGCAGTACACACCAAACTGAGCATATGCAGAGTGCCTCTTGTACTATCAGCAGATGGATTGGGGACAGTGGAAGAAGGAGAGGATCAGAGAAGACAGGATCAAACAGCCTTTTTACACAATGTGGAGGATTATCCCCTTAGGTTCCACAGTGAGTATAACAAGCATGCTTTACAGCAGTGTTTCTCAACCCTTTAAAATGGGGTGCCTCAAGACTGTCCATAATTTTAAAAGGGCACCCCATTCTAAAATGTGAAAAACTATTCAAATGGTTTTATATAACACAGAAACATCCATACATGTAGGACACCCAACATTAGAGGTGATTTATACTTCCAAAGCAAAATACACTTTTGCACACTGGTACTGACTAGTATTCCAATGTTTCTCTTCTCCCTCAGTTTTTCTCCATCACTGAGCCAATGTGACCCCAGCACTGATGGAGAGGGGCAGGGGAGGGTCAAGTTAGGATGCTGTGCAGGCAGCTGACATCCTCCTTATCAACTGATGATGTCATGGGTTGTCAGGATGCTGGCGGCTAGAAGGTCGTAATGGTGCACAATGAAAACCTGTGGCTTTGTGTAACTAAATGGCAGGCTTGTCCACCCGCTGGCTTGTATACAACTTTTGGGAAACTTTTTAGACATTTTGCTAAGGCACCCCTGAAGAAATCTCAAGGCACCCCAGGGTTCCTGAGCACCCTGGTTGAGAGAGGCTGCTTTACAGCATATACAGACTGATTTTACTGTTGTGGATTTTGTAACATTTTAAATGCTGGGGTGCTCTGATTTGCAAAAAATGACTATCTCTGTCAACTCTGACCAAACCTTGCTTGTCTTCTGTACTGTAATATTGGTTAGTGAGGCCTCATCATATGTTATGGTTGATACTAAGGTGTGCAAAGGAGTGGGCCAAAACCAGCAGCCAAAAGAACCTGTTTGTCTGTTAGAACGCCCCGATATTAAAGAGGAACTTTACCCATAACAACTTGATAAAAAATAATGTTCTTTAGCAAGGAACATACATTCCACATTATTAGTTATGCTACCAAACTTAGTGTATGCTGTAAATTGCCTCCAGCATTGTTTCTGTTTCTTCTTGCTGGAGCCCCCCATTTTGCTGAAATCCAGAGAGAAAGCCATGGGGGTTACAAATTCCCAGACCTGTGAAGCTTCTTTTCCTTGTGTGACAAGGCTGGGTTCACACAGAAGCAGTGGAGAAACCGCATTCAATTTGAACAGGAATCGCACCGCAAAGCATCAGTACTCTGTATCGGCGAGTACTTGGCCAGAAGTATGGGTACTCGTACTCATCGATCAAAAAATGTTATCGGTGCAGATAGGGCCAGAGCCCCTCTTTCTTTTTTAGAAAATTGCCAATAGTTAGGGTCCAGTTTACTCTCTGACTGCAAGTATATACAGTTAGGTCCATATATATTTGGACACAGGCAATATTCAGGTATTGACCAAAACATATTCAAACTATAGTTATATAATGGATATGGGCTTAAAGTGCACACTCTCAGGTTTAATTTGAGGGTATGTACATCCAAATTGCAGGAAGGGTTTAGGAATTACAGCTCTTAAGAGTAGCCATCCCCCCTTTTTCAAGGGACCAAACGTAATTGGACAATTGAATCAAAAACTGTTTCATGGCCAGGTGTGGGCTACTCCTTTGTTATTTCTTCATCAATTAAGCAGGTAAAAGGTCTGGAGTTGATTTTAAGTGTGGTATTTGTATGTGGAATCTATTGCTGTGAATCTACATCATTCGTTCAAAGGAGCTGTCCATGCAAGTGAAATAGGCCATTGTAAGGCTTCAAAAACTAAACAAATCCATCAGAGAGATGGCAGCAACATTACGAGTGGCCAAATCAACAGTTTGATACATTCTGAGGAAAGAAGAATGCACTGGTGAGGTCAGCAACATAAAAAGGCATGGACCTCCACAGAAGACAACAGTGGTGGATGATCTCAGGATCCTCTTTATAGTAAAGAAAAACCCATTCATAATTTCCAGACAAGTGAAGGACGCTCTCCAGGAGGTGGGCACATCATTGTGAAAGTCTACAATCAAGAGAAGACTTCACAAGAGCAAATACAGAGGGTTCACTACAAGGTGCAAATCATTCATAAGCCTGAAGAATAGAAAAGCCAGATTAGACTTTGCCAAAAAACATCTAAAAAAGCCAGACCAGTTCTGGAAAAGCATTCTTTGGATGGATGAAACTAAGATTAATCTGTACCAGAATGATGGGAAGAAAAAAGTGGCTTGGAACAGCTCATGATCCAAATCACACAACATCATCTGTAAAACATGGTGGAGACAGTGTGCTGGCATGGGCATGCATGGATTCCAATGGCACTGGGTCATTGGTGTTTATTGATGATGTGACAGAAGACAGAAGCAGCCGGATGAATTCTGCAGTGTTTAGAGATATACTGTCATCCCAGATTCAGCCAAATGCAGCAAAGTAAATTGGACGGCACTTCACAGTACAGATGGACCATGATCCAAAACACACTGAAAAAACAACCCAGGAGCTTTTGAAGGAAAAGAAGTGGATTATTCTGCAATGGCTGAGTAAATCACCGGATCTCAACCCAACTGAGCATGCATTTCACTTACTGAAGGCAAAACTAAAGGCAGAAAGACCCACAAAGAACAACTGAAGACAGGTGCAGTTAGAGCCTGGCAAAGCATCAGAAAGGAGGAAACCCAGTCTTTAGTAATGTCCATTGGGTCCAGACTTCAGGCAGTCATTGCCAGTAAAGGATTCTCAACAAAATATTAAAAATTAACATTTTATTTATGATAATATTCAATTGTCCATTTACTTTTGGTTCCTTGAAAAAGGGTCAGTGGCTACTCTTAAGAGCTGTAATTCCTAAACCCTTCCTCCAGTTTGGATGTACATACCCTCAAATTAAACCTGATAGTGTGCACTTGCAGCCCATATCCATTATAGAACTATAGCTTGAATGTGTTTTGGTAAATACCTGAAAGAAATAAAAATTGTGCCCGTGTCCACTTATATATGGACGTAACTGTATCTGGGGAAAAAAACATTTTGAACATTTCTGGATGGAAGTGCTGCTGAAAGTGCAGAAATATACCAATTTGCCAGAAATCCAGTAAGTTCCTAACTTCCTGTAATGAGAAGACAACTCTTAACCTTCCTAGCGGTTAATTTTCAGTACCAAAAGCAATAACCCGAGCCACACTCGGGATTACTCCATAGTGCTTCTCCTGCTTTTCCCACGATCCCTACTTTCTCCTGCGATCCCGCGATGTCCTCCCGCTGTGTCCTCTGGCTGATGCCGGTACCGTCTTCCGGGTTCCATTCCCTGAGAGCGTCGGTACGCACGGGGGCAGAACTGACGGGAAATTCAAGAAAGTAAAACTATGACATACACGCAATACATTGTAATCTGTTCAAATGACATTCCTGTATCAAACCATTTCACCTACATTTTGTCCCTAGTGCTTTGTCCGGCACCCTGCCTGCACTTTTACTCTTCTTTCTGCCTGGAAGCTTGAGAACGTCCATGGTATCCAAAAAACGTCCCTTTAGGTCAAAAGCGGTTTTAGACTGGCTAGAAAACAGCGATAGTAAATTTGAATCACTTGCAGAATTAAGCGATAGTGATTCGTGGGGAAATTCGTCATCAGACACTGACATTATTGAATTAAATTTACTATTATTATATTTTCTAATTATTTATTATATTTTATGATTTTGTGTGTTTATCATACCCGGGATGTTTACTAGACTCTTGTTTGGACAGATTTAAGTAAGAATTACAGGCCTGCAATATAAAACAACAAATTGCCATGCAAAACAATGTACCGCTTTGACATTCAAAAATATTGATTAGTTAGACCGCCAGGGAGGTTAAATCACAAACAGTTTTGTCAGTCCTATCTGAGTTCTCTGCTGGACTACAGAACCTCATATGTTACAGAGATGTGTAGAGTGTGTCGTGGGAACAATACCATGCAGGCGACGCAGGCTTACGCAAGACAGAGTCTTAACCAGAGTCCCTGATGGTGTTGATGGGCCAGGAGTCTTAGTGGCCCCTGGAGCTCTTTGCCACAGGCTGCTACCAGGTCATAGCCCTCAGGATCACTCCATTAATGGGTTAACAAGGGCAAGAGGGCTACAATGTGGAAATTGTACACAAAGTTTTAGGCAAAGGAGCAGTCAGATCTGCCAGGGGTCATGGGCAGGCAAGAGGATGGTCATTTACAAGCAGAGGTCATAGGCAGGCAAGAAAGTAGTGTGTCAGCAACAGGCAAGCAGTAGTGTAAAATGGCTGTTATGCACAAAGCAGGGCAGCTGGCACAAAGACACAGCACCCGCAAGGGCTGAAGATGTACCCTTTTGGTCAGAGGACATGCCCAGCATTGTTTCAGGGAACGCTGAAAATCCCTGGCATGGATTCTGTGAGCACCATTGTTTCCAAAATTCCCAATAGTTCAGGTCCAGTTTAGTTACCAACTGAAAGTGCATAACTCTGCGAAATTCTAAACAAAAAAAAAACATTTAGAAACATTTCTGAATGCATGTGCTGCTGCAAGTACAGAAATATACCTGTTGATTTGCCAGAAATCCAGGAAGCTCTTACAGTGGTTCTAAAGCCTGAACATTCCCCACATTAAGGCAATAAAATGTTTAGGTATCAGTATCGCCCCATCACAACCCCCCTCCACCCCCCCAAACTTTTACTAACCCTAGGTTCACCCCCGGTTCACATATATGTAGCCGCGCAGGCCGCATTTTGCGTGGGCACAAGAGCCCATTCATTTGAATGGACTCCCGTACACTATGACACGCAGAGAAGTCCCTGCACTTCTGAAAATGCAGCCTGCACAGGAACCTCGGTTCCCAGTACGGTTGCGTTTTCCAGTGCGGGCGGCGTGCCAATAGAACTAATGGTACCCGCCCACGGGTCTGCATTTCTCTGTGTGGGTGGTGTGGCTGCACAAATTTTTGTGCGGATCCGCAGCGGCACCACCCGCACAGATGTGAACCTAGCCTCACACCTAAGCGATTTCTGCACCATTTTTCAGAAATGCAGTATAGTCCATTTAACATGATTTCCCATGGGAAAGGTTCACATCTCCACGTTTTCACCCCATACATTTTTTGGAAAGTGTCAGGGACTTTTTTTTTTTTTTTTTTTTTGCTTCGTTTCTATAGACTTCAATGGAAATGCTGCACAAAAGCATGCATTGCGTTCTTGCTGTGCTTTTGTTGAGTTTTGATGCCGTTTTGGTGCATTTTAAATTTGCCTAGCAGCAAGGGAAAAAAACGCAAACCGCGGCAAAAACGCAACGCAGAAATGGCTCAAACACAATCTGCATAGGTGTGTGAACCTAGCCTTACCAGAGGCCTCACTCAATCCAACACTGAATCCATCTGTAGCGGCTCTGTCATCTCTCCCCACTATTACAGAACAAACAGAGCAATTGGCTACTGCTGCTGTTAGTCAAATCCTGTGATAGGGGGAGCGGGGGTTGGGGCCCAGCCACACTGTGTCTATAGATGCAGGCAGCGTGGCTAGAGAGCCAGCCTGCACGAGTCCCCCCCCTTAGGAAGTGGCTTGTTTTGGGGTACTCCCTAAAGAGGAGGAGCCAGGAGCGCTAGCAGAGGAATGGAATTGCACAGAGCAGGTAAGTATATATCTATTTGTTATTAAGAAAAAAAAAAAAAAAAGACTTTAGTATCACTTTAATTTTCTATAATGAGTGGACAACTCAAGCAGTTTGGCCAGCCTTGCCTGAGTTCTCCTCTCCTGGACTACAGAACCTCCCAATATGTTATGGAGGTGAGCGGAGGGGGTTACGGCAACACCCCCTTGCAGGTGTGCAGACCTGAGGCACAAAGTCTAAGCACCATCTCCACCATGATAAAGATGGTCCAGGAGCATTTTTCTGCTGGTACCAGGTCAAAGCCCTCAGGGTCACTCCATCAATGGGTTAGTGCAGACAGGGAGGCTTCAAAGTGAACACTTTGCACAAAACGTTAGGCAAAAGAATGGTCAGATCTGACTGAGGTCATGGGTAGGGCAAGAGGGTGGTCATGTACATGCAGAGGTTGTGGACAGGTAAGAGGGTAGTCCTGTTCACCTGGGTCATTAACTAAATAGACTGGCTCTTTCACAATGCAGGGTAGTTGGCAAGAATACACAACATCAACCACGTCAAGGGCTGGAGCTTAAATACCCTTTTGGTCAGAGAACATGGACATCTAACTGAGGTTAGGCAGGGAACAGTGTAGTCAAATCAGTCTGGGTCGAAAAAAAAAAAAAAGGGCAATTAGTAGCGTAGTATAGCTCCTTTGCACATGGTACTTGCCATGAACACACAGGACCAGCCTCTTCAAGTACTGGAGTTTAATTACCCTTTTGGTCAGCAGACATGCCCAGCATTGCAGGGAAACGCGGATTCCGTGGCAGGGCTTCTGTGAGCACCTTTGGAAGTCCTGGCAGGAACTCTGAAAGCCCCATGGGAAGTACTGGCAGAGATTTCTGGAACTCCTGGCAGGTGGACCTGCAGGTTCCACAATCTTGGAAATGGAGAGATAGGAGAGGTGTAGGAGTGTGTCCTGGAAATGCGAAGATGGGGCAGAAAGAGATGTTCCTAACCGAGTGGGAGATATTCTGTAGTTTAGCAGGCAGAACTGACAGTGCTGTTTGGGATGTTAGTGCAGCAGATGCACTGTCATCCAACAACAGGAAGTTAGGAGCTCGCTGGATTTCTGGCAGATCAGCAGGTGTTTTTCTGTACTTTTAGCATTTGTTAACCACTTGCCGTCCGCCTTCTGTTTATAAACGGCAGGGCGGTGGCAGTCCAGGGGCGGGTTGCCGTTCATAAACGGCACCCGCCTTTTCTAGCTGTGCACGCTCCCTGGGAGCGCGCAGCACCGCGATCCGGTGCCCGCTGTGTCCTCCGGACACAGTGAAACACCGATCGTCAGACGGGACCTCTGTACGAGGTCCCGATCATGTGCTCACTGATTGGCCAATCAGTGATCACATGCAAAGTAGTAAGCAAGATGTCACTTGTGACATCATTGCTTACTACGTGTGAAATCTGTGAATGATCACAGAGGTCACATGATACAAGGCTATTCACAACAGCCTTGTACCATGTGACAAGCTGTGACCAATCACAGCTGACTCAGTACTTCTCAATGACTGCAAGAATGCAGACAGAGAGAAAGAGAAATGATTGCTTTTACATGCTATATGGGTGTAAAAGCAATCGGTGTAAAAAAAAAAAAAAAAATCTTAATCACCCCCCACAAGTAGTACTGCTAGGGTGACCGTATGTAAAAAAAAATAATAATATAAAAAAATAAAATAAAAATGTAAAAAAAAATGTTTAAAAATTATAATTTTTGATTATAAACTAATTTAGATTTTTTTTTTTTACTAAAAAAAATAGAATACATTTTGGCCAAGATTTATGATGAAATATTATTTATTTGCAAAATTTTATTAAAAAAAACTTTTTTTCAAAATTTTTGGACATTTTCATTTACATAGCAAAAAAAATAAAAATCCCAGCGGTGAATAAATACCACCAAAATAAAGCTTTATCTGTCTCAAAAAAATGGTAAAAAATTCATTTGGGTACAGTGTTGAATGAATGACCGCGCAATTGTCATTCAAAGTGTGATAGCTCTGAAAGCTGAAAATTGCCCTGGTCAGGAAGGGGGTAAAAGTGTCCGGACAGGAAGTGGTTAAGGAAGAAAACATATGGAAATGTACATGTATTTCAGAGATTTATTGCATTTCTTACAATATTTTTCTGTTTCAAGGAAACTGATGGCAACTCAGGCCTGGAACAGCCAGCTCCAGCAGTCAGCCAGACTGAGAACCACAACAGTGCATTGCATGTGGATGAAACACCCTCCACTTCACAGGCATCTGAGAGCGAAGGCCTTCGGGAAGCCATGAATGACATGATGACAGAGTTTAGGCTTGATGTCTCTGTTGTAACACAAGCGCTCTTTTTCAACAGCGGAGAACTGGGCAGCACCAGATACTTCCTGCGCACAGGCACCCGCCCCGATGGCTATCCTATTTGGGAGCCAAAGGATGACTTGGAATTAAAGAACAACAACCCAAAGATGCAATCACACCTGATTAATAAATATGGTGCAGATAATGTTGCTAGAAGAGTGGCGTTCCTGGCGAGTTAGCAGCATTTCTACAGTCATACTCTTTGGGTAGAATGGTGTGTGAAGTGCGGTAACCCATAGCAAGCTGTCAGACTGGTGAGAGTCATTTTGATTGGTTGCTATATATCGCTGTACTCTTCACGTCATAGTAACAGTGCCACTTATCAAACCGGTGGGTGTCACTGACTGACAGATGCAAATGTTCATATTGTTGTTTTATACAACAATAATACAAAGAAGACATTGAATACTCACCTCTCCCGTTCTGCCTATCTTCCTTCTGAAGAATCTACAGAATCCAACACTTCTGGGCGTGTCAGATTCCCTGTCTCCCATTGCACTCAGTGATCCATTAGTCCTGTGTCCTGCAGTGAGCAGCAGGGGACCAGGAAATCGACACTCCAGGAAGTGTCTGATTTTGCATTTCTTCAGCTGGTAGTTTTTCTTCACTACAGCAGAGATTGGCAGAATGGGCAGCATGATAGGTTAGTATTCAGTGGGGGGGATTTACTAAAACTGGTGCACACCAGAATCTAGTGTATCTGTGCGTGATAGCCAATCAGCTTCCAGGCTTTATTGCTAAAGCTTAATTGAACAGGCGGAGGTTAGAAGCTGATTAGTTACTCTGTACAGCTGCACCAGTTTTTGTAAATCCTCCCCCCTCCATCTTCTTTGCAGGGAACAGCTTTCTGTGTACACATTTGTTTGTTGCCTTAGCTTGGTAATATAATTGTTTTATATATTTTTTCAAGTAAAGTTTATATGTGTTTTATTTTCTTCTAAATGTGTCTTCTGCTTCCTTTGACCATCCGGTATTTCATCACACCTACATACTCTGGGAACACTAAGGGGGTTAATTTGCTATAATCGAAGAATGCTAAATCTGGTGCAGCTCTGCATAGAAACCAATCAGCTTCCAGGTTTTATTGTCAAAGATTAATTGAAGAAGCTGAAACTAGGTTCTTATTGGCTACCATGCACAGCTGCCCCCTAAGCCTGGGTTCACATTGATGCGGTCTGGAATTTGCAGCGTTTCACAATCACACCCCGTTCATGCGAACCGCTGCTGGTGTGTAAAAAACACCCCGAAATCGGTCTGCAAAAGGCGGTGCGATGTGCAGAATTGTATCGCATAGTTGTGAATACCCATTCAATCAGATTTAAGTGCGGACCGAAAAAAGGGTCCTGCACCTTTTTGGTGCGGTGCGATTAGAGCCATACAAAATGTATGGCTTCAATCGCACCGCACACAAATCGCATGTGATTTGTGCAGGAATGCGGTGCTGTTCCTGTGCGTATCACATGCGATGTGCCACACCACATATACGTGAACCTGGGCTAAGTGTAGTTTACTTTCCGTCTCTTATGAACATCTTAATTGGGGCTACAGCACCCACCCTGCCCATCCTAACTCCTTATAACCTCACAAAATGCCTCTTTAACACCAAACACACAGCTCTGATCTAATCAGAGCTAATCATTCTGCAGTCAAAGATAAGAATTGGGAGAGATACACTCACCGGCCACTTTATTAAGTACACCTTGCTAGTGCCAAGAAAATATCCCCCACACCATTACACCACCAGCTTAAACCATTGATACAAGGCAGGGTGAATCCATGCTTTCATGCCGTTTATGCCAAATTCTAAACCCAACCATCTGCATGTCACAGCAACCAGTCTGCCCATTCTCTGACATCAACAAGGCATTTTTGTCCACACAACTGCGCTCACTAGATATTTTCTCATTTTCGGACCATTCTCTGTAAACCCTAGAGATGGTTGTGTGTGAAAATCCCAGTAGATCAGCAGTTTTTTAAATACCCAGACCAGCCCGTCTGGCACCAACAACCATGCCACGTTCAAAGTCACTTAAATACCTTTTCTTCCCCATTCTGATGCTTGGTTTGAACTTCAGCAAGTCGTCTTTACCACATCTAGATGCCTAAATGCATTGAGTTGCTGCCATGTGATTGACTGATTATTAGGTACACCTGTTCAATTGTTTGGTAACACAAATTGCTAAAGTATGTACAACACAGAGTTGACACAGGACAACTCTGAATTTCTGGAAGGATCAACGAGTTTTTTGTTTTCTTTTTACTTATTACACAGATATTGCAAAATGGTTTTATGTTATATGTAACAGACCAAAAGGAGTAAATAAGGGGAAGTCTTTGTTAGGGTTACATAGTTAGTCTGGCTGAAAAAAGACAAAAGTCCATCCAGTTCAACCATAAAAAAAAAAGTTATAATCCTATACCCACAGTTGATCCAGAGGAAGGCAAAAAAAAACCCAGCAAAGCATAATCCAACTTGCTCCTGCAGGGAAAAAATTCCTTATCCCCGAGAGGCAATCAGATATTCCCTGGATCAACTTTTCTTATAAATGTTAGTATCCAGTTTTATTCTGTGTATCTAAGAAAGAATGCAGGACTTTTTTGAAGCAATCCACTGAGCTGGCCAGAACCAACTCTTGAGGGAGTCTATTCCATGTTCTCACAGCTCTCACTGTGAAGAAACCTTTCTGTGTTTGGAAATTAAATTTCTTTTCCTCCAGATGTAAAGAGTGCCCCCTTGTCCTCTGTGATGACCTCAGGGTGAATAACTCTACACCGAGTTCACTATATGAACCACTGATGTATTTATACATGGAGATCATATCCCCCCTTATGTATTATACATGGAGATCATATCCCCCCCTTATGTATTATACATGGAGATCATATCCCCCCTTATGTATTATACATGGTGATCATATCCCCCCCCTTATGTATTATACATGGTGATCATATCCCCCCTTATGTATTATACATGGAGATCATATCCCCCCTTATGTATTATACATGGAGATCATATCCCTCCTTATGTATTATACATGGAGATCATATCCCTCCTTATGTATTATACATGGAGATCATATCCCTCCTTATGTATTATACATGGAGATCATATCCCTCCTTATGTATTATACATGGAGATCATATCCCCCTTATGTTTTATACATGGTGATCATATCCCCCTTATGTATTATACACGGAGATCATATCCCCCCTTATGTATTATACACGGAGATCATATCCCCCCTTATGTATTATACACGGAGATCATATCCCCCCTTATGTATTATACATGTTGATCATATCCCCCCTTATGTATTATACATGTTGATCATATCCCCCCTTATGTATTATACATGGAGATCATATCCCCCCTTAATCTTATCTTCTCAAGAGAGAATAAATTCAGTTCCTCTAATCTTTCCTCATAGCTGATCTCCTCCATGCCTCTTATCAGTTTGGTTGCCCTTCTCTGTACTTTCTCCAGTTCCCCAATGTTTTTTTTGTGAATTGATGCCCAAAACTGAATTGCATATTCCAGATGAGGTCTTACTAATACGATATCTATCTCTCTCTGGAGTCTATACCTCTTTTAATACAAGAGAGGATTTTTTCTCAATTTAGAAACCCCAGCTTGGCATTGCATGCCATTATTTAAACTTGTGATCTACCAGAACTCCCAGATCCTTCTCCACCATTACATACACATTAACCCCTACTCGCCCAGACCCTGCAACCCTTAAACTTGGTTTTAGGCCCAGGAATGGGCCAAACTGCCCTATCACATGACCATTGTGATGGACTATCACAGTGGTTGCATGATCGGGAGCTGGTCCTGCTGGCTCCTGATAATTACTATAGACCCAAAACTATCTAGGAAAGTTTGGTCACTGTGCCAAGAGTTGCATTGCAAGCCATCCATGGTCGCACATGTGCAAGCTCATCCTGTTCCCTGCTGCACACATACATTACATCGGCGACAAGAGGTTAAAGACAATGTGCTGGTGTGACTGGGCCCTAGGAGGAATTTAAAGCAGAATTTAACCCAAAAGGAGAACTTCTGCTTTATCTTCCTCCCCTCCTCTGCAATATTTGGAATTTTATTTATGGAGGGGGGGGCATCAGGTTTTGAAAGGTACCCACTTCCACTTTGATAGCCTAGGCAAAGCTGAAGGAGTAGCAGTCGGTTTTCCACAATTAACATGCTGGCGCTGGAAACCTGAAGACCAGCAAAGAACCAACCTGGGTGAGGAAGGAACCTAGGATCCCTGGACAGGTAAGTGTGTGTTCCATAAAAGTCAGCAGCTGCAATATTTGTAGATGCTGACTTTTACATTTTTGTTTCCAGTGTGAAAGGTCTACTAACTACAGGCCTTTCTTGCTGTCATGCACACTCAAAAACAAGCGTAGCTGACACAGTGTCTGGTGTAAAGAATCACAGCGCTCAGCGCAGCACACACTATCCAACACACCCGTAAATGTTGAATGGCAGCAGCACTGACAGTGGGGGAAATAATTATTTGATCCCCTGCAGATTTTGTACGTTTGCCCACTTACAAAGAAATGAAGAGTCTAATTTTTATCGTAGGTGTATTTTAAATGACGGAGACAGAATATCAACCAAAAATCCAGAAAAATCACATGATACAAATGTTATAAATGGAGTTGCAGTTCAGTGAGTAAAATAAGTATTTGATCCCCAAGCAAAACATGACTTAGTACTTGGTGGAGGAACCCGTGTTGGCGGCCTAGACGCCAAGCAGCCGCACATTTGCGTTCTATTAAAAAACAAAACTTGCTGAGAGTGCACGCTCTTAGCACACATGTTCGGTACACGGAAAGGTCCCAATCTCCTCTTTCGATTGGGACTTTTCCCGATCATGTGACAGCAAATCATTGCGGTCACATGACCATAAAATCCTGCCCTGCCTCCCAGCTTCTGGAACCCTTAAAGCGCTGGCGCCAAGGGGTTAAAAGTCAGCATCTACAGTTTTTTTAGCTGCTGACTTTTTTTTCAGCTGGAACCCAGCTGTAATTTTTCTTAGCTGTTACTTGGCAACTGGAAGTTTCAGCTCCCTCCATAAATTTTCTATAGGATTAAAGTCTGGAGACTGGCTAGGCCACTCTATGACCTTAATGTGCTTCTTCTTGAGCCACTTTGTTGCCTTGGTGGTATGTTATGGGTCATTGTCATGCTGCAAGACCCACCCACGACCCATCTTCAGTGTTCTGGCTGAGAGAAGAAGGTTCTCATCCAAGAATTTACAATACGTGGCCCCGTCCATTGGCCCCTCAATGCAGCAAAGTCAGCCTGTCCCTTAAGCAGAGAAACGGCCCCAAAACATAATGTTTCTACCTTCATGCTTGATTATAGGGATGGTGTTCTTAGGGTCATAGTCAGAATTTTTCTTCCTCCAAACACGGCGAGTTGAGTTAATGCCAAAGAGCTCAATTTTGGTCTCATCTGTGCACAGCACTTTCTCCCAATTCTTCTCTGAATCATTTAGATGTTCATTGGCAAACTTCACACAGGCCTGTACATGTGCCTTCTTGAGGAGGGGGACCTTGTGGGCTCTGCAGGATTTCAATCCATGGCGGCATATTGTGTTACCAATGGTTTGTTTGGTGACTATGGTCCCAGCTGCCTTGAGATCATTCACAAGCTCCTCCCATGAAGTTCTGGGCTGATCCCTCACTTTTCTCATGATCATCCTTACCCCATGAGGTGAGATCTTTCATGGAGCTCCAGGCCAAGGGCGATTGATGGTTATCTTGTATTTCTTCCATTTGTGAATAATCGCTCCAACCGTTGTCTCCTTCTCACCAAGCTTCTTGCTGAGGGTCTTGTAGCCCATTCCAGCCTTGTGCAGGTCCACAATCTTGTCCCTGACATCCTTTGACAGCTCTTTGGTGTTGCCCATGATGGTGAGGAAGAATGAGATTCTGTGAACAGGTGTCTTTAATACACATAATGGGTTGTCGTTAGGAGCACCTTCTTAAATTGACAGGACTAATCTGTATACCACATGAGCACATAGCCAGTCTATGGGAGCCAGAATTATTGTTGGTTGGTAGGGGATCAAATACTTATTTTACTCACTGAACTGCAACTCAATTTATACCATATGTATTGTGTGTTTTTTCTGGATTTTTGGTTAATATTCTGGCTCTATAATTTAAAATACACCTATGATAGAAATGATAGACCCTTCATTTCTTTGTAAGTGGACAAACTTAGAAAATCTGCAAAGGATCAACTATTTTCCCCAGTAGATAGCAATGGAATAAACCAAGGTTGGTCAGTAAGGATGTTCTTGGCTCAGTTTTGTAGCTCCTACAGCGACAGCCAGATTTGTAGCCTGTAGAAAGAAATCAATGGCTGGTGTAGCCGCTGTTTACATGTAACTGCTCATCTGAGCGGTGACACACAATTCAGGCCTCTGTTCGGCCCTGGATGCTGACAGTTTGCGTCCCAGGCTGGCATTCTCTGGCTGCAGGCAAAGTGGATGTCACTAGTTGTCCAGTGTGTGTGCGGCCACAGTGGCTTTGACATCTGCACGGAGAAGCCTAATTGCTTAGACCTCTTGCACACCTAAAAACTCCACATTTTTAGGCATTTTGTTTTATTTTTTTGTTTGTTTTTTCTTTTTTAACTAATATAAAGCTGAAATCCAAAAAATTTTGCAACTTTTTAAAAAAAGGACAGGCACATGATGAGCTAAGTCCAACCAGGTGCCTCCCTCCACCTGGTCTTATCTCTATTTTTTTCAGTATATATGACAGGTTTATGACTCTGCCAAGGGTACTCTAGAGCAGGGGTCTCCAAACTGTAGCCTGCCCACTGCTTGGCTTTATCTGGCCCTTGGGGCACTATTCCTTCCACTGATACGAGGCACTATACCCTCCACTGCCAACAAAGACAGAGCACTATTCTTCCCAGAGATACCAAGAACTGGGCACCATTCCTCCCACTGACACCAGAGATGGGGAACTAATTCTTCCACTGACACCAATTATGTCATTTTATTACTCCAACTGACCATCAAGCCTGTGGCATTGTTTACTCCTACTGATGCTGGGGCATTTTCTACTCCCACTGGCCATAGTCCAGCCCTCCTAAAGTTTGAAGGACAGTAAACTGGCCCTTCGTTTCTAAGGTTTGGAGACCCCCTGCTCTAGTGATACTTGGGGCTGTGAGAGAGGAGGGAGGTACACAGAGAAGCTATGCCTGCCCCTGTCCTCCACTGCCCATTTACAGATGCCTTTGTATTTTGTGAATACGTTCACATAATACAAAGGCTTCTGTGAATGGGCAAATGAAGAGGAGGGACGGGCATAATGGTTATAGCGATTCTTGAAAGAGCTGAGACTACAGTGAGCAGTAGGAGCGCCAAAAGTTATCTTTCTGGAGCACAATAAACCTGTCAGATGTGGGTGATGGCATTAAGCCAAGGCAATCCCCTTGTTAGATTTAAAGTACAACTAAAGGCAAAAGTTTATTTTAGTTTTGGATAGAGTGGTGATGTATTAAAACCCCTGTCAGCTGTATATTGTTGTCTGTGCCCCTGTTAGGGCAATTCACCCTCTCTATTTGTCCTGTTTACCATTATCATTGAAAGTGAAAGTAAAAGAAAAGCCCACATTTTGTGTTGGCCCGTAAAAGTAACAGAGGGGAAATGTTTCAATGGGGCCTGGGGGTCCCCAAGAAATTCCCTTAATTTGCAGGGATTTCCTCTCACTTCCTGTTTGGCTATGGGACAGGAAGTGCAGGGAAATCTCCCCAATGGGACACAGATGGTGAAAAAAGTTCTGATGGGTTATAACCCTCCCTTACTCTCTCCAAAATGAAAAAAACATTTGCCTATAGTTCTACTTTAACTCATGGTATGCCTGCAGCTTTTCTTTTACAAAGTAGCTGAATTCCAGGAATTCAGCTTTAGGTCAGACCAGTTTTAATTTCAGTTAACTGCATTGACAACAGGCGCCACCAGGTGGCGCTCTCTTCCTCTGCCCGATGTAAGCGCAGACCGATAGGTGACACGTGTTTCTGGTGAGGAGCAAGATGGCAGCCGCGGCTTCAGAATTTGTTCGCAAGCTGAGCGTCAACGAGAGCAGCAAGATGACGCCCTCCGGGAAATGCACTGAGGAAGTTTGGTCCGACGCATGCGCAGCGAGGAAGCCGGCAGCATGGCGGATAACAGAGTGACAGAGTCTCTTCTGCAGAGGCTGCAGGAGGGGAAGAGCGATGGACTGGACAGCCTGGAGTTGGCTCTGGCCCTGGGGGGTGGATCACCAGCAGGTGGTGGGGGCTGTGAAGAGCCTGCAGTCCCTGGGAGAGGTGAGAGGACCTGTCTATGAAAGATGATGTAATAGCATCCTGGGGTCACGTGACTGCACAGCTGTCTTGGGCTGCAGAGTACAGTATGGCCAGATGGCCTGGGACTTCTAGGGGCCACTGGGGCCCATACAGTGGAGGGCCATAGGATGGGTGCTAGCAGGCAGAAGAGTTGAAGGGGGGCGCGGGCAGGCCAAGGAGCAGAAGGGGCGCGCGGGCAGGCCGAGGAGCAGAAGGGGGGCGAGGAGCAGAAGGGGCGCGCGGGCGAGGAGCAGAAGGGGCGCGCGGGCGAGGAGCAGAAGGGGCGCGCGGGCGAGGAGCAGAAGGGGCGCGCGGGCGAGGAGCAGAAGGGGCGCGCAGGCAGAGGAGGTGAAGGGGCGGGCCAAGGGGCAGAAGGGGTGCCCGGGCGGGCTGATGAGGTGAAGGGGCTGGCCGAGGAGCAGAAGGGGCGCGCGGGCAGAGGGGCTGGCCGAGAAGCAGAAGGGGCGAGCGGGCAGGCCGAGAAGCAGAAGTAGCGCGCGGGCGGGCGGAGGAGGGAAGGGTCGCGCGGGCGGGCGGAGGAGGTGAAGGGTCGCGCGGGCGGGCGGAGGAGGTGAAGGGTCGCGCGGGCGGAGGAATTGAAGGGTCGCACTTGACTCTGATGTCAGCGCCCAGTAGCACTCTGACATCAGCGCAACACATCAGAGTGTTATTGGGTGCTGTCTCTTGCAGTCCAAAGTCTAAAACCCAACTATATCATAAAGCAAGAAGCAGAATGACTAGACCACACAATGTAACTGCACAGTGGTGGAACAATAGGCACACAGTAGTCCAGGGCCTTAGTCGGAATCACTTTGTTTACATGTAGCTTCTAGCGGCAACATGCACCAAATGGTGCCCTGCTAGAACAACAGGTGCGCATGCACGGGATTGGTAGCGAATCCCGCAATCCATGAGAAATAATTTCATTAACACATTGCCACTACTAGGGCATGGAATTGGCAACACTGACACTGCTGCTGCTTTGGGAACATGTGAAATATAGGATTCCCAGCTAGAATGATACGTGCTCATCCGCAGGATTGGCACAGCCCTTTGAAGATTTTCCTTTTCAAGGTGGCAGCATGGAGCAGACAAGAAAAGTCCACCAGAATGTGCTGACGTCAGCGCCCAACAGCACTCTGACGTCAGCGCCCAACAGCACTGTAATTTCGGCACAGACGTTTAGATTCTAATACTATCTTATTTTTTCCCCCAGATTATTGAGGCAGAGCAGCGATCCAGCAAGAAATGGGAGCTGAGCTCGGAGGGGCAAGAGATTGCTCAGGAGGGCAGCCAGGAAGCCCGGGTGTATTACAGCATACCCAAGGGGGGCTTGGCCCAGAGCGAGCTCATGGTGAGTGTGCGGAGAGCCTGCAAGAAAAGATGAGATGCTGTTATATCAAAATCTAAACTGGAAACTTGTACAGAAGTGTGGAAACCCCCTGTCAGTGATTTGTTTATTTTTACTGCCTGCATTCATGCACTTTCTTCGGGTGACTGGTTTTGAAAAGGAAGAGAGGGTAAATCTTCCAATGGGGACATGTTTGTGACTCTTTGATGTCTGTGACAACTGTACCAAGAGATTTACCCTCATTTTGATGGTTTTCTTACACTTCTTGCTATGTCTTCAGGACAGGATGTGATGGAAAATCTTCCTACTTGGACACATAGCAAGCAAAAAAAAAAAAAACTTAAAAATTTAAAGTTGGTCTTGCAAGGAAATGATAGAGGTCCTGCTATTTGCCCCCCCCCCCCCCCCCCCCCCCCCCCCCCCCCCCCCCCCCACAAATGCAGAACAAAAAAAAAATTAGGAAAAAAAGTAAAAATATTTAGCTTGGACTCCGGCTTCCAGCTCTTTTGCCCAGGCAAGGGTGACGTCATGTGTTCTTGCCACATCCAATGGGGAAAGCTGAAGATCTTGAACCTGCGCTGGAGTGCATTCTTTTTTTTTTGGTTTTCTCAGGTGCCCTAGAATCCCAGTGGAAGGCAGAGTGGGTCACCTAGGTGAAGCAGCCTAAAGCTAAGGTTTAGGGTAAACATTTTTTTAATTCTTTATTTTGGGTAAGCGGGTTTTAAGGTTTTTGGGATTTTTTTTTGTTTTTTTTTCCCCCTCCAAATTTTTTTTTTTTTAATCACTTGCCGACTGCAGATAGCTGAATGACTGGCTCACTGCGGTCGGCCAGTTCTGGGAGGGCATCATATGTCCTCCTCCCAGAAAGCTCCCTCCCACTCGCCCCCGGCGGCACGCACCCTGCGATCTCCATGATAGCTGTGTCCTATGGACACAGCTGATCATGTGATGTGGTAAAAGGCCAATCACAGTGGCCTTTTACCACTTGATCAGCCGTATCCAATGACACAGCAGATCACCGGTAAATGCAGTTGCTGGTTATCAGCTGCACCTTCCTCACACTGTCACAGCGTGAAGAAAGTACTGCCGATAACCGGCAATTGTCAGAGGATGGATCGGAACCGATCATCAGGGATCGGTGCCGCCCACCTGTGCCCAGCAGTGCCTAGTAGTGCCACCCAGTAGTGCCGTTAGTCAGTACCCATCATTGTTGCATATCGGTGCTGCCTATCAGTGCCGCCTCATCAACGCACACCAGTGAAGGAGAAAAATTACCTGTTTGCAAAATTTTATAATAGAAGCAAAGAAACTTTCTTTTTTTTTCCAAAATTTTTGCTCTTTTTTTTTTTTTTTTTTTGTTTATAGCACAAAAAATAAAACACCCAGCGGCAAGCAAATACTACCAAAAGAAATCTCTATTTGTGTGAAAAAAGATGATAAAAATGTCATATGGGTACAGTGTTGCATGACTGCGCAGTTGTCATTCATAGTGCAACAGCATTGAAAGCTGGAAATTGGCCTGGGCAGGAAGGGGGTATAAGTGTCCTGTAGGCAAGTGGTTAAGGATGAAGATGGGGAGCCTGTAAATAATGGGACCTTGCATTTCCATTCAAGGTCAGTTTAAAGAAAAAACAAAATAGCTTTGGTTTTAGATATACTTTAAAGCTGAACTCCAAGGAAGTGTAAACGCCACCCTTGCAGTGAGGCTTCCCCTGCACCAGCCGCTTCCCTTTGATGCTCTGGGTTGGTGGTGGGCACTTAACCTTTTGCAGTGTGGGTCAAGCTAAGCAATCATTACCGCTGCTTGAACAGTGGCCTGATTTCAGGCCAGCACATACAGAGATCACATGACTGGCTGGCTGAATTTCTATTTATCATACTAGTGATGAGCTCAGGCATGTTTGGATGCTGTCGCTGTACTGGGCCAAGCAAAAGTGTCTGAGGCATTCCTCACCCTGCAGCCGCATGTATGTGCACGGCTGCAGGGAGTAGAATGCCCTTGTGACAACTGATTGGCCCAGTATAGGTGACATCTTGGTGAGCTTGCCCTGGTGGGTTCAGGCTACGATATGAATGTTTCTGAGCTCATCACTAGTTTAGACCCAATTAAAACCTTCACTAATCATTTCTTTATGTGAGCTTTTTTCTCACCCACACTCTAGTCCAATCCTAAAAATTACACCTCAAAAATCAATTCTTAAATACATAGATCAATGAATAAATGAAACCAGAACATAAATTAAAGTCCCAAAAATGTCTCTGAAATATCAAAATGTTCAAATAACTTTCTTTTCCACCTCCAAATCACATCGTGCAAAGCTGTGCAAGGTATTCAACGTATGGTATTCCAATGTTGATGAACCTCGAAAAAAAAATATAAACTAGAAATGGTGCGTTACCTTTTACAAATAAACACTTGTGCAAAAATAATGTGTTATGCACACTGCATATCGTGACCCCTTGATGAAAAAGTACAGGAAGTGACGAAACGCGTCGGACACGTGACGTATGGCGCTATTACGTTTTACCGGAAGTACGATTGCGGCCATCTTTGTTTAGGGAACATGCTGTTTCTGCCAGGACTTATTGTATGCCTCAGAAGCTGGAAGCTGTTTGTTGGAGTTTTAAATGGACATGGGAGCATGCTAAAAGGAGTGCTAAGAAGCTTGGAGGTGCCAGCATCTACTATGTGAAAAGTGTGACATTACCTCTCTAGGGTAATTATTCATTGCTGCACCAAGTTGGAGTGTTTTCACCTAAGTTGCACATTTGTGATATTCACTATTGTATTTATTTGTGGCAGTTCAATTTTTGCAGTGTTTGAGTTCACTACCACATCTAGCAAAGCACACGGTTATTGTGTTTTTGGAGTGTTCACTTTTGCTCACGTGCGTTAACAAGTTTATTCATACTTATTGTGTGTAACATATATATCATTTTTTTTTTTTTTTTTTTTGCACGTTTGTTGACACATGATATGCAGTGTGCATGACACATTATTTTTGCACAAGTGTTTTTTTTTTTAAAGGTAACGCACCATTTCTAGTTTATATTTTTTTCGAGGTTCATCAACATTGGAATACCATACGTTGAATACCTTGCACAGCTTTACACGATGTGATTTGGAGGTGGAAAAGAAAGTTATTTGAACATTTTGATATTTCAGAGACATTTTTGGGACTTTATGTTCTGGTTTCATTTATTCGTTGATCTATGTATTTAAGAATTGATTTTTGAGGTGTAATTTTTAGAATTGGGCTAGAGTGCGGTTGAGAAAAGAGCTCACATATTGTATCACTTTCAAGGGTGAAAGTTTTTTTCTTTTCTTTTGGGTTAGGTTTTTTTATATGTATTTGGGAGTGTTCACAGTCATTGGTATTTAATCTTTTCTTTAACCTCTTCACGCTGGCCACACACAAATGTGCGGCCTCCCGGCGTCTGTGCCTAGAAGCCAAGCGGCCACATGTTTGCGTTCTATTAAAAAAGGACATATGTGCCGAGAGCATGCGCCCTGCGCGCTCCCAGCACACATGTCTGGTACTCACGGAAAGGTCCTGATCTCCTCTTTTGATCAGGACCTTTCCCAATCATGTGACTGCCATGATGGCGTGTCACGGCGGTCACATGACTAAACCCTGCCCCGCCTCCCGGCTTCTGGAACCCTTAAAGGGCCGGGAGGCGTCAGCGTGAAGGGGTTAAGAATGAAACCTTGGCTACTCTGCCCAAAAATAAGTGTTTGCCGTATTTTCTGAATGTGTACTATATAACCGCACAAGGGGATAAACAGATTTTGTTGACATAAATTGTTAATCTGGCCATAGATGGATGGAATCTGTCAGGTCAGCACGGATCGGCCAAGATTCCATCAATCTATGGGTAGGCTGGTTGTACTGAAGTCGATCCATCAATCGACTTAAAGTGTTACTAAATGCACAACAGTAAAATCAGTCTGTATATACAGTAAAGCATGCTTGTTATACTCACTGTGGAACCTAAGGGGTTAATCCTCCGCATTGTGGAAAAAGGATGTTTGATCCTGTCTTCTCTGATCCTCCCCTTCTTCTGTCTCCAATCCATCTGCTGATAGAACAGAGCCTTGGGGCAAGCTGCACATGTTCAGTTTAGTGTGTATTGCTAGAGAGTTGTTTTTTTTCTTTGGGAGAGTGCATGTGATCAGCACAGGGCCAATCAGCACTGTCGAGACAGAAGGTCAGGGGTCCTGCAGCCTCAGGACAGTCAGATCAGAATGAAAACTCCTCCTACAAGCTTTAACCAGTGCTCTGCTGGACACTGATGGAAGTCACAAGACTATTGTCTATTTAGCAGTTTATATTTACTAAAATAATTGAATTTCTGTGCACTGTGGGAGACCAGATATAGTGAATGCAGGGTCCTGGGAGACCAGATATAGTGAATGCAGGGTCCTGGGAGACCGGATATAGTGAATGCAGGGTGCTGGGAGACCAGATATAGTGAATGCAGGGTCCGGGGAGACCAGATATAGTGAATGCAGGGTCCTGGGAGACCAGATATAGTGAATGCAGTGTCCTGGGAGACCAGATATAGTGAATGCAGGGTCCGGGGAGACCAGATATAGTGAATGCGGGGTCCGGGGAGACCGGATATAGTGAATGCGGGGTCCTGGGTTTAGAAACACTTTAAGTACTATGAGCCTGTTAGATTGTTTTGTATGCAATTACTGCCTGGGGTATGACTGCCAGCAGTGATCATTGTGTTCTGCAGGAAGGGAAGACTCCCTGTCGGCAGAACATAATTGGGCAGGGGTTCCCCCATCAACACTAACTGAGTTGATTGGGGGTATCAAGCGACTTTCTTTACTGCACCCCATAGTGCAAACAGGGCCAGGACAGTAAAGAATTGCATCTCTATATGTAAACAGCAGAATCACAGCCATCCTGATAATAGGAGTGCAAGGGAAATGAAGGAAATACTGAAGCCCTAGGGTAGGGTGGGAACAAGGCCTGCACTTCTGCCAGGCAGAGAGCAATAATACAAGCTAACCGAGGTTATAATGCTTTCTTGCTCCATCTAGAAATTAAAAAAAAATGTTTTGCTTGGTGTTGGGCTTTGGTGCATTTAATATCAATTTAACTGCATATGCGTTGCTTTCTTTCAGAAACTGACAATTGCAAAAATTGGATTCAGTAAGGCAATGTCCAATCGCTGGATTCGATTAGACAAGTCAGCAGAGGGTGGCCCACGGATCCACAGAGCGGTGAGTGAACACTTCAGTGTCCTATTTGCATACTTTTTTTATTCCTCTTGTTTTCATGTCATCCACAAAGTTATTTACAGTGGGCATAGAAAGGAATCGCCACCCTTTCAAATAATCAAATTTTGTTGCTTTAAAGCCTGAAATGAAGACACACTTTTTTGTTTGGTTTTGTGTTTGTGTTTTGTGTTTGTGTTTTGCGTTTGTGGTTGGTGGTTTGTGGTTGGTGGTTTGTGGTTGTGTTTTGTGGTTGTGTTTCTGTTTTTGTTTTGTGTTTTTGTTTCGGCTTTTTTTTTTTGTTTTGGGTTTTTTTGGGGTTTTTTTCTTTTATCCAGCTGAATTGTGCAATTTATAACATCCAAGTGAAAGAAATAACACTAACATGTCAGAAAAAAAGGTAAACCACTTTCTAGCAGACGGGAGCAGATTTTCCTCAAGAATTTGACAGTATTTTGCCCCATCCAATTTTCCTTCCATCCTGACAACTGCTCCAGTCTCTGCTGCAGAGGACCCCCCATGACAGGATATTCCCACCTCCATGCTTTACTGTAGGAATGGTGTTAATTGGATGGTCAGCTGTATTGGATCTACGTTAGACATGTTGACTGGTGTTGAGGCAAAATCATTCAATTTTAGTCTCATCTGACCATAACACCTTCCATGTGGTCTCAGAATCTTCAAGGTGCATTTTTGGCAAAGCTCAGTGGTGACTGCATGTGGCCTTTCTTGAGGAGTGGATTTTTTTCTTGCAAGCCTCCCATACAAGCCACATTTGTGGAGGATTTTTGATATTTCTGTCACATGCACACAATGACCACTCTTTGCCATCAATTCCTGCAACTGCTGTATGCCTCTTGGTAGCCTCTTTGACCTGTTTCCTTCTGGCTGTTTCATCCAGTTTGGAGCAATGTCCTGATCCAGGCAGGGTCTCTGTTGTACCAAATACCTTCCACTTCTTAATAATAGACTTCACTGTGCTTCTAGGCATTGATAATGCTTTTTGAATTTTTTTTTTTCTTTTTGGATCCATCTGACTCGTGCCTGTCCACAACTTTATCCCAGAGATATTTTGACATTGCCTTGCCACTCCTAGTTAATTGTTAATCAGTTGCACTGCTAGGAACTGAAATGCTCCAGGAAAGCTCTTTTCATGCTGAGCTAATCAAAATGACCACAGCTGATCACATTTAAAAGTCAAATGGCTGTGTGTGCCATTGAGAAGGTGAATAGCTACACCTGACTAAGTTTAAAAATCATTTTTCAGAGGGGGTGATCCTTTTTTTTTCCCAATCAGTGATTCTGTTTTTTTAATTTTTGTCTGACATTTTGCTGTTCCATCTTTCACTTGGATGTTATAAGTTGCGATGAGTAAATACAGCAGGATAAAACAAAAATTGTGTCTGTCTTCATTTCAGGTTCCAAAGCAACAAAATGTGATTATTTTAAAGGAGGGCGATTCTTTTCTATACCCACTGTAGGGTCTTTACCTCTGCACCCCCCGGCCGCAGCTCACCTCTGCACCCCCCGGCCGCAGCTCACCCTGCACCCTGTCTGTGGCTCATATCTGCACCGTCTGAAACTCGCCTTCAAGTCACCTCTGCAACACCTGACTGCAGCTCACAACTATCATCAGTCGGGCCTCTCTATAGTAACCCTCATCCATAACTGCCTGCAGCTCACCTCTGCACCCCCTGTCCACACCTGGACATTTAAAAAATAAGACCTACCCCAAAAATAAGACCTAGTGTGTTTTTTTTTTTTTTATTATTTTTTTTTTTTTTTAGCCAAAAAACATATAAGACAGTGTCTTATTTTCGGGAAAACGGTACGTTTTTTACGCATTTTACGCATTTTTGATGGGTGTTAATCTGCCCAGCAACAAGTTGTGGAAAAAATTGCATCAAAAATACGGCAAAAAAGCGCATGCGCAAAACGCACCAAAAAGCACTGCAGAAATGGATCAAACGTAAACTGCACAGGTGTGAACCTAGCCTTAAAGCGGAGTTCCACCAGGAAAAAAAATAAATAAATAAAAGTCAGCAGCTACAAAAACTGTAGCTTCTGACTTTTGAAATATAGACACTTACCTGTCCCTCGGTCCACTGGTGTCCTCACCACGGCTGCTTCCACCGGCCATCTTCTCTCCCAGGCGCTGGCATCTTCAGTGTGGGCACCCAGCTGTGACAGCTTGCGGTTTCACAGCCGGGTGCCCACGGCGCATGCATGAGAAGTGCTGCACTTTGTGAATGGCCCCGTAGTCTTCTGGGACCTGTCACGTGTCCCAGAAGACTACGGGGAGGGAGGAGGGGGAGGACAACTTCCGCTTTCGATCGCCTAGGCGATCACAGCAGAAGTGGGAGCAGGTACCTGTCAAATTTGGGTTCCTGCTCCCCTCCAAAGGTGACAATCCTTAATGGGGATTGGGGAACAAAGGCTTAAAGCGGAACTTCCCCTTTTATTTTTAAGTGTTTGAATGTGTTTCATTATCAGCCTCCTGTAGTCCCATGTACAGCAGCATCATTGGGATAGGGAAAAGAATCACTAGGAGCCAATCAGGTGCTACTACATTTCACATGTGAAAGCCATGAACATGCTGACAGAAGGAGAGAGAAGAGGGAGCAAAGCTGATGACTTTCATGTGCTGTTCCTCCCTTTTTTTTTTTTTCTCTCTTTTTTTTTAATTGACAATCCTTTAAAGCAGGGGTCTCCAAACAAGTAAAAAATGACATGAGTGGAAGGAATAGTGCTCCAACATTTGTATCAGTGGGAAGAATAGTGCCCATTGTTGGTATCAGTGGGAAAATTGGTACCCCCATCGTTGGCGTCAGTAGAGGGAACGGTGCCCCAAGAGCCAAATAAAGACAAGCAAAGGGTACAGTTGCACCCCTTCCTGCCCAGGCTTTCCAGGTTTCAGCGCTGTCTCACTTTAAATGACAATTGCTCATTTATTCATTTCAGGTACTTATATAGCGCCGTCAATTTACGCAGCACTTTACATATATATTGTACATTCACATCAGTCCCTAACCCTCAAGGGGTGTACAATCTAAGATCCCTAACTTACATTCATACATACACATACTAGGGACAATTTAGACAGGAGCCAATTCACCTACCAGCATGTCTTTGGAGTGTGGGAGGAAACCAGAGTACCCGGAGGAAACCCACGCAGGCACAGGGAGAACATGCAAACTCCAGGCAGGTGGTGCCATGGCTGGGATTCGAATCAACGACCCGAGTACTGCCAGGCAGAAGTGCTAACCATTTAGCCACTGTGCTGCCCAATTTATGCAATACTGTACCCAAATGACATTTTTCTCATTTTTTTCACACAGAACATTTTTTTTGGTGGTATTTAATCACCACTGGGATTTTCTAGTTTTTGTTAAACAAAAAAGGTTTTGGAAAAAAAACACGCTGTTTTTCATTTGTTGTTATAAGATTTTGCATGTAATCTTTCTTCATAAATTTAGAACAAAATGCAATCTGCTACACTTCTTTGGTAACAATAACCCAAATCCGTGTATATTTTTTAATCTGTAGGAAAGTTAGTTAGTTTGCTATGGGGTTTATATTTGAAAATTGACCAGTCCTGATGTACTGACAGCCTGTCTCAATTCTTGAGGCCTGAAAATGCCAGGACAGTACAGATATTCCCAAAAATGACCCTCTTTTTTGGAAAGAAGGCAGTCTAAGGTATTTAGAACTAAACTTTAAAAAGATAGAGGGAATATTGAGAACACCGACTGTCTCATCACTATTGTTGCTGTCTAAGCCAAAATCAGTCACACGCAGTGGGTAAAGTCCAACGCCAATATAGGTGTAAGGAGCACAATACCTCCGCCTCAATATAATCCGGTGTTGATATTAGTTTAATGATGTCCAGACGTCTTATTGTTTTACACTGTTTGTATGTCTATTGTGTATGTTGTGGCTATTGAGCACCACTTACTATTATTTTTTGCAAAGTTTTTGCTATGAATACATAATTCTAATTTACAATTTCTGATGCGAGTCTCGTTTTGCTGTCAGATTAACCACTTGTCTAAGGTATTTAGTGAGAGGCATGGCGAGTTTTTGGAAGCTGACTTTTTTTTTTTTGTCTAAATTTTTTGGAAAATGAAGAGAAGTTACAATTTATTTTTCTACATACTGTCACCAATGCAGTAAAGCATCATCCTATAACTGTCGTGGTGGTTAACAGGGACACTGACTAGTGCCAATATGTTAAAAAAAAAAAAAAAAAAAAAAGTGTAAATTGTGTTTTTTTGTTTGTTTTTTTGGTTTTTTTTTTTTTTACATTCTTTGACCAGAGCCATATTCTTTGACCACCTCCGGGTAGGTGAGCAGAATTTTTTTTTTTTTTTTGATTGCTTATAGTCACTGTTCTAGGCAACCATTTTTTTCTGAATTTAATCTGTGAAAAAAAAAAACCCTTATGAGTTATAACCCTACCTAACTCAAAGTGAAGTTTCATCTGGTTTATTTTTTGTCTTTAGATTCCAAAAAAAATAAAAAATGAAGTTTTTGCAAAATAATGTTGCTAAGAGAGAGCCTAGTCCTCCTGCCACAATAGACAACGTATGTATTACTTTATTATCTTGAGTAATGACAGAGTTATCAAATAAACAGACCTATAGCAGAAATGCAAAAATGGCTATACAAGTACAGGAGCTGAAGTGGTTAAAGCCAAGCTCCAACTGACACTTGAGGCTGGAAGTCTTCAGTGGGGTCACAGATTGCCATGAAATCAGCTCAGTACTTCCTTCCTACGGACGTTAACCGGACTCGCTTGTGTGACTGATCCTGGAACGTGTCTGTGATGCTAGAACACAACAGACTTCTCAATTTCCCTGAGAGGCAAACTTTCACTCTCAAAACTAAAAATATTTTTGCCCGAGTGCAGGGGCAGACTGACAACTCATGGGGCCCCCGGGCAATAGGGGATCATGGGGCCCCTGTGTCCTTGCCCAAACTCAAAAAAGCCTATGATAAAGGTACCAGGAGCATCTTATGGGGCCCCCTACTGACCCCCGGGCCCTCGGGCAGTGCCCGAGTTTCCAAATGGTCAGTCCGCCCCTGCCCGAGTGGTGTCCATTTAGTTTTAATGAAATGCCAAGGCATTTATTTTTTTCCCTGTATCACCACCACTTTGTGTTTTTTTTTTTTATATATATTTTTTTTTTTACCATGTCACCATCTTATATCCCACTATACTCTGCCTGCAGGTGGATTCAGTAGAAGATACTGTTAAGGAGAAGCTGCAGCTGATCGAGAAAGGAAAGGCGGACAGTGTAAATGAGAAGGACAAGAGCGAGCTGAGAAAGAGGAAACTGCTCAATGAAGTGTAAGTGGATGCAGCATGGTCATTGGTTATTACACATGATTGGGAACAGAGCTGGGTAATAACATGTAACTGTGTGTTTCTTCAAGGTCACTCTTATCTTGTAGGACCTCTGTGTTCGGATCCATGCACCCCCTCCTGACCGCATATCAGACTTTGACATGCAGTTGAGTCCATGACACCACTGTGTGTGCATTCACTGCCATGGGCTTCCTGCATGCAGCTCTGAGGTGGATGCACAAAACACATCTGCCAGCAGCTCAGATTGAAGAATGGGCTTAACTGCCAATCTGAATGAGCCTTTACCACCTGAGTTCTAGACTGCATGTACTCTTACATTAGCATTTTTCAGTTCTTTGATAGTTCGACTAACAATTACCTGATCTTGGAACACTGTATCCAAATGAATTTTATAACATTTTGAGCTTTTCTTTTGGTGCTGCTTGAGAACCACAGAGTGTATATGTAAAGCAAAGCAGAAGTTTTTGGGAAAAAAAGTTGTCCTGACTATCGTATTTCATAACCACTTCCAGTCCGGACACCTTCACCCCCTTCCTATCCAGGCCAATTTTCAGCTTTCAGCGCTTTCACACTTTGAATGACAATTGTGCGGTCATGCAACACTGTACCCATATGAATTTTTTAGCATTTTTTTGAGACAGATAAAGCTTTATTTTGGTGGTATTTTTTCACCACTGGGATTTTTATTTTTTTCTATGTAAATGAAAGTCCAAAAATTTTGAAAAGAAGAAATTTTTCTTATAAAATTTTGCAAATAAATAATATTTCATCATAAATCTTGGCCAAAATGTATTCTGTTTTTATCTTTTTAGTAAAAAAAAACAAATTAGTTTATAACCAAAAATTTATCATTTTTAAACTTTTTTTTTTTTACATTTTTATTTTATTTTTTTATATTTTTATTTTTTTTTTTTTTGTTTTTTTCATACTGTCACCCTAGCAGTACAGTGTCACCATGGTGACACTGTACTACTTGTGGAGGGTGATGAAGATTTTTTTTTTACACCGATTGCTTTTAAACCCATAAAGGCTGTAAAAGCAATCATTTCTCCTCTCTCTCTGGCTGCATTCTTGCAGCCATTGAGAACTACTACTGCGTGAGCTGTGATTGGTCACAGCTTGTCACATGGTACAAGGCTGTTGTGAATAGCTTTGTACCATGTGACCTCTGATCTTTCACAGATTTCACACGTAGTAAGCAATGATGTCAGAAGTGACATCTTGCTTAGTACTCTGCATGTGATCACTGATTGGCCAATCAGTGATCACATGATTGGGACCTCGCACAGAGGTCCCGTATGACGATTGGGTTTCCACTGTGTCCAGAGGACACAGCAGGCACCAGATCGCGGTGCTCTCCGCGTTCCCAGGGAGCGCGCACAGGCAGGGGGCGGGGAGGCAGTTTATAAACGGCCACCCGACCCTGCACTGCCACCGTCCGGCCGTTTATATACAACAGACGGACGGGAGGTGGTTAAAAAGTGAATGGTGCCGCAGTCTTCTGGGACCTGTGGCATTCACTTCCGCCTGGCAGGACTATGGTCACTGCTTCAATTTCCAACCATGACACTACCTGCCTGTAGTTTGCATGTTCTTCCTGTGGCTACGTGTTTCCTCCAGGTACTCCAGTTTCCTCCCACACTCCAAAAACATGCTGGTAGGTGAATTGATTGTAAGCTCTTTGAGGGCAGAGACTGATGTGAATGTACAATATATATGTGTAAAGTGTTGTGTAAATTGACGGCGCTATATAGGCACCTGTAAGAAATAAAATACCTTAGACTAAAGCTCTCCAGCGGTGTGCCGTCATCATTGACAGGACTCGCATCTTCACCCAGTCTTTCTCCCGGGTTCACTGGCTCAGGTTCTTTGAATGGCTGAGCCTTGATGACGTCAGTCTCGTGCATGCCCACGGGAGTCACCATTTACAGCACAGAGCTCTGAAGAGATGGCACAAGTTATGCCGTCCCATCGTAGCACATGCACCGGTGACGTCACTGGCTGCATCCAGTGTGAATATCTCCTAAACACCGTAAGTTTAGGACATATTCACTGTACCTACAGGTAACCCTTATTATAGGCTTACCTGGAGGTACAAGTTCTAAAGTGGACTTTACTACTGCATTAAGATCCCCATCAGGGGGACTTCTTACAACCACCAATCTCATTCAAGATTTGTGGTTTGAATGTGACTAGTAATTGAACAATCCGAGGTTGTTTTGCAGTAAAGCTTTACACAGAGGGCTGTAGAGGATTACACGGAGGTTGGGTTATGGTCACGCGTTGTAAGATGTTGTGGTGTTTACTGGGTAATATTCGCTCCCTCAATGTTTTTACATGTTGCATTTTCAACTGCTAGTGGAAATAGATGAGAGAGGTGTACTGTTCTGTGCAAAATTGTCATCTGCAGTCACGGGGAGGGGGGGCAGTGGACTGTTTTACTACACACATCCTGCAGATGAAAATGTTCTGCTGTACAGAATCCTCCTCCTTCCTCCCCCCTCCCCCCTCCCCCCTCCCCCCTCCTTCCTCCCCCCTCCCCCCCCTTCCTCCCCCCCCTTCCTCCCCCCCCTCCTTCCTCCCCCCCCCTCCCCCCTCCTTCCTCCCCCTCCCCCCCTCCTCCCTCCTTCCTCCCCCCCCCCCCTCCCTCCTCCCCCCTCCCCCCCCCTCCCCCCTCCCCCCTCCTTCCTCCCTCCCCCCTCCCCCCCCTTCCTCCCTCCCCCCCCCCCCGCCTTCCTCCCTCCCCCCTCCCCCGCCTTCCTCCCTCCCCCCCCCTCCCCCGCCTTCCTCCCTCCCCCCCCTCCCCCGCCTTCCTCTCCCCCTCCTCTCTCCTCCCCTCTCCCTCCTCTCTCCTCCCCTCTCCCTCCTCTCTCCTCCCCCTCTCCCTCCTCTCTCCTCCCCTCTCCCTCCTCTCTCCTCCCCCCTCCCTCCTCTCTCCTCCCCCCTCCCTCTTCTCCCCTCCCCCCCTCTCTCCTCCCCCCTCCCTCTTCTCCCCTCCCCCCTCCCTCTTCTCTCCCCCTCCTCTCTCCTCTCTCCTCCCCCCCCCCCCCCCCCTCCCTCCTCTCCCCCTCCTCTCTCCTCTCTCCTCCCCCTCCCTTCTCTCCCCCTCCTCCTCTCTCCTCTCTCCTCCCCCTCCCTTCTCCCCCTCCCCCTCCTCTCCCCCTCCTCTCTCTTCTCTCCTCCCCCCTTCCTCCGCCCCCCCCCCCCCTCCTCCGCCCTCCCCCCCTCCTCTCTCCTTCCCCCTTCCTCCGCCCTCCCCTCCTCATCTCTCCTCCTCTCCCCTCCTCTCCTCCCTCCTCCTCTCTCTCTCTCCTCCTCTCCTCCCTCCCCTCCTCCCTCCCCTCCTCCCTCCCCTCCTCTCCTCCCTCCCCCCCCTCCTCTCCTCCCTCCCCTCCCCTCCTCTCCCCTCCCTCTCCCCTCCCCTCCTCTCCCCTCCCCTCCTCTCCCCTCCTCTCCCCCACCCTCCCCCCTCTCCCCTCCTCCCTCCCCCCTCCTCCTCTTCTCATGTTCCATTATTAAGCTGACCATTCTCCACTTTCATCTGAAATGAAAGCCGTGGGTGGCTCTGCCGGCAGCAACTGGCATAACAGCAGTCAATTGAAAAATCAAACAAGCCGGGTGGAAGGATGCAGCCACTGTCTGCGTATTCAGACACCAACAGTGCTGGGGGGGGTGGTGTAGAATGAGATTCCTCCATCCTCACAGTTTAGTGTAGATGGAGGGATCTATTGATTTTTCCTCTATAGCCAGTGGGTTAAAGTATAGCAATCTATGCATGTATTGATTGATAGGAAAAAAGATAAATCTGTTTTCAAATTAGTTTCTTGTAATTCTTGTATTTTCTTGTAATGTAACCAAGACACCATTGTATTCCTGTGCACAGTGCTGTCAGTCTAACACTATGAGCTTGCTGAAAGGGGGAGAGAGTCACTTGAACAGAGTAATCACCAGTGTGGTGATGCTGCTATATTATCCATGCATCAGGCTGGCTGTGGGGTTATCAAGCTAAACAGCACTGCAGAAAACTGAGGTCATCAAACTGATGGTGTGTCAGGGTGTATGGAGGGGGGGTCCTGCATAATAAACCGGTGTTAACTTAAATATTTTACCAAAGAATTGTGTATTTTGTTATCTTTATCAGATTTGTATTTCTATGTTTTCTGAAGGTTAAAGTGATAGTAAAAGCAATTTATTAAAAAAAAAAACTGTCATACTTACCTGCTCTGTGCAGTGGTTTTGCACAGAGTAGCCCCGATCCTTTTCTTGGGTCCCCCGTCGGTGTTCCTCGCTCCTCCCTCCTTCTAAATGCCTCCAGAGCAAGCTGTTTGCTATGGGGACACCCAAGAAGGCTCATTCCCGAGCCCATTTACACACAGAGCCTTAGCCTGGCTCTGCCCCCTCTTTTTCCTCATTGGCTCACTGGCTGTGATTGATAGCAATGGGAGCCAAGTGCTCCCTCTTTTGTCTCAGCCAATGAGTAGGGAGAGTTGAGGCTCTTGTGCACATCGCTGCATCCGTGATAGGGCTCAGGTAAGTATTATGGAGGGCTGCTGAACACAGGTTTTTTTTACCTTGATGCATTGTAGTTTTTACAACCACTTTATACCCAAGAACAGCCGTAATATATTGCAGCTTACCAGTCCTTGGATGTGGTAGCTGCATTAGCTTTTTTTTCAGGCCTTTTTATCCTTTTATTTAAATTGTTTGTAATGCCAGTAACACCCTTCTGGTCTGTTGGACAGGTGAGTTAGGACTACAGAACAGCTTCCCTTCTCCTGATCTCCATAACTAATGGGGGAGGTGTTCTGTAGTCTATTTGGGTCTCCTTACTTGGTACACATTCTTTAATGTTAAAAGTAAAATTCGTGGGGTCAATGAAAGTGGTAGTAAACTTGTTTAAAAAAGTAAATAAAAAAACTTTCCTGTTGCAAGTTAATATAATGTGCTAGTATGCACCGCACACTAGCACATTATGGACAGGGCAGGATGACGGCATGGGTAGGGCGCCCCCCTACCCAGAAATGCAAAGTCACATGTGTGTATATATACGTGATTTTGTGCACTTGTTCCATCCTGTTGCAGTACTTCTGAAATACGGCAGATGGGAAGCGGTTAAAGAAGAACTTCATTAAAACCAACAACAGTTGAGACAATGAACACCTTGATCGGGTCTATGTACAGCATAATGTATAAAGTACATGGGTCAGGAGTAAAGAAAAAAAGAAAAACGTATAGAATGTAGCAGTCAGGATGAGCGCCATGTTCACATCAAAGGTCTCCCTTATATCAAAGTCAACAGCATTCCTCCTACACATCAGAGTCCCCCTTAAATCTGTGTCTTCAGAGTCCCACCTTACAGCAGAGTACCGCTCCTTACATCAGAGCCCAGCAGAGTGCCCCTTTTACCACTGGTGGGTGGCTGGCATGAAAAGGCTTTAAAAAAAAAAAAAAATCCCTTTGTTGCTGGATCTTAACTGCAAATGCACAGTTCCAGAGCCAGCCAATTAGCGAACTGCCAGATTGGGACGAAACGGTGGAGCGTGTGAATATAAGCCATGCCTGATGCCATGATGTCACTGTACAGGGGCAAACCCAGACCTGTCCTGCTGCCTGATCTGAGGCTGAGCCCAGCAATTCTCTATTAGTTCTCATAACTGTGCATGTGCAGTTCACAGCTGATGACAAGGGGAGTTTTTAGGGCTCCTTTCTCCTGTCCGCAATTATGGACAGGAGAAAAGTGCCTGTTTTTTTTTTTTTTTTTTTTTTTTTTTTTGTTTTTTTTGTTACAAACCATCTGTAAATGTACAGACGGTTGGCAATACGTGGCTGGGGTGTACAAAGGCTGCCACTGTGATTCTTTGTTTCGTGGCCATGACAAGAAATACCCTCTGTTGCTTGCTGTGGGCACAGTGCCTGATAACCATGTTCTAGTCAAGTGAATGGGGCTGCTCTGCAAGCACCTCACAACTGCATGCAATGTAGGTTGCGGTGTGCTAATATGGAGTTCCGGGGGTTAAAGCAGGTGGTGAAGAGGTGATGCAACTCCTCGCTGCCTGCCAAATGGCTCTCTGAAGAGTGATCTGAACACAGATAGCTCTTCAGAAACCAAAGCTAGTGTGTAGGAGCTCTTCAAGGGATTCTGGGCAGGAGGTGGTTAAACAGAAGCATGACAAACTTGTGAGTTAAAATTCTATCAGTTTATCCAACTAGTAGTTGGTCGGCCTTCCCCAATAGTACTTCAGGTGTCCCTGGACATGAAATCAACTCTGGCAAGTTTGTGAAACCTTCTAGAACAGGGAGGGGGGAGAAGGGAGGAAGTTGGGGACAAGTCAGTCCTAGAGCAGTGTTCACTCACCCCAGGCTGGGATCTGAAGACTCAGGCATCATCATCATCAATCATGCAGAGACGGATGCAGCTTCCAGGGGCTGTACTTCATATATCCTACCCCTCTTTCTGAGGCACCACACTGGCCATGTATGAGCGGGGCAGACAGGTGGAGAGGGGTGGGAGCAGACTGAGTCCTGTCTATGCAGAGAGGAGGGGAGAGCTTGCTGCCTGGAGTCTGTGACACAGACTGCTTCCCTGACCAATGGTTTGGCAATCCTGCCTGGGCACAGTATCCATGGGGGGTTGCCTGGGTAGGTAGGTGCAGCTGCAATCTGGGGGGGCACAGCCTACCCCAGCTCCCCCCTAGATCCGGCTATGATTATGAAAGACTTGCCTTAGAAGGAAGCCCTCCAGCAGCACGCTGTCACCGCTGCAGAGGCTTACATCTTCACCTAGTCTTCCTTCTGGGTTCACGGGCTACGGCTGCTTAACCACCTCCCGCCCGCCATATAGTAATATGACGGACGCAAGAGGGTTCTCTCGTTCTGGGAGGACGTCATATGACGTCCTCCCATTCTAACCGCGCATGCCCGGCTCCCGGAGCGCACAGCGCGGCGATGTGTCCCTCGGACAAAGCGGATCACCGATCCACGGAAAGAGCCGAAGATGTCGGCTCGGTCATGTGATCAGCTGTGTCCAATCACAGCTGATCACATGTAAACAGGGAAATGCTGGTTATTGGCATTTCTCTCCCCACGAGCTGTCACACTGACAGAGGAGAGCCAGTAATCGGCATTCCTCAGACGGGACATGTACACTGATCATCAGGGCACTGATGATAGTGTGCCCTGATGAACTGTGTAGCCCCAGCAGTGCCAGCTCTGTGCTCATCCATGCCACATATCAGTGCCACCTATCAGTGCTGCCAGTCAGTGCTACCTATCAGTGCCAGTCAGTGCTGCCTATCAGTGCCATATACGAATGCTGCCTTTCAGTGCCCATCAGTGGCACCTACCAGTGCCTGCCCATCAGTGCACCCTATCAGTGCCCATCACTGCAGCCTCATTAGCGCATATCAGTGAAGGAGAAAAATCACTTATTTACAAGATTTTATAACAAAATCTAAGAAAAAACTTTTTCTTTTTTTTTTTTTCAAAATTTTCAGTGGTTTTTGGTTTGTTTAAGAAACCCCCCCCCCCCCCCGAGGTGATTAAATACCAACTAAATAAAGCTCTATCTGTCACAAAAAAATGATAAAAATTTCATATGGGTACAGTGTTGCATGACTGCGCAATTGTCATTCAAAGTGCAATAGCGCTGAAAGCTGGCAATTGGCCCGGGCAGGACGGGGGTATAAGTGCCCTGTAGGCTAGTGGTTAAATGATCGAGCCACCGATGACATCACTCCTGCGCATGTGTGCAGGAGTCTCGGCCATGGCACACAACTCTTGAGCAACGGCACGGGTATGTTCCTTCAGAGTGCATTCGCTGGTGATTTCGGCTGCTGCTCTATAGAATATTGCCTAAATGATAAACATTTAGGAGATATTCATTTTACCTACAGGTCAGCTTTATTATAAGTTTTCCTGTAGGTAATAATGAAAACAAAGTGACTTTACTACCACTTTACCCCCTTCCCGCCTACCAGCATACTTTTTAAAAAGTTCTCAACATTTGGGAGGCAAGATTCCCCTCTCAGCCTTTGCCAATGTTAATACACCCTTCTCTTCCCCAAGGTGCATCTACCTGTTCCTATAAAGATAGATTAAGGTACCATGTACACGGGACACTTCTGAATGATGGAAACTGCTGGAAAACGTAGGTTAAAAAAAAGTCTGTTTAGCTGCGTTTACATAACGCGTTTATGCACATTTATGTGCGTTTGCGTTTAGAAAAGTTTTTTTTAAAGATAAGCACAGGAGAACCTCCCAAATGCCCAGAATGCACTGAAAATTGGTAAATTATTAACTATTTCAGACTGTTTCAGAGAAATACAGAGAGTAGAAGCAGAGACAGCAGTATGTGTTGATGTTAGCTTAGGTGTGAGTTGCTCATTAACATTTCTTTTGTTTCCAGTGGTGGGAAAGGTGTCTGGTGGAGGGAGTCAGTAAGGTCACCTGGCAGGGGGTCTTCATGAGGAATTTGAGGTGTGAATGGTCATTAACATATCTTTTGTTTCCAAGGGTGGGAGAGGTCTGAGGTGTGAATTGGTCATTACAATGTATGACAAGCTTGGTAGGAACATCCTGTGTTCAGTGTTTTGTCCATCTGAGTACCTTGAAAACACTTTGCATGCATTTTTCATGATGAAAAAAGGCTCTAGACAGCATCGGGAACTGGAAGAGTTAAAAAAAAAAATTCAAATGCAAACAGTTATAAACGCGATTTGCTGCGTTCACAAGCGGTTTGCGTTTGAAACGCTGATAAAATCGACTGCTGAATGCAAGTTTTCTGTGTTCAAAATAATGACTGTAAACGACTCTGTGTACATGGACACATAGGGAAACATTAGGGAGAGTTCAGGGGCTGCTGAAAAAAACGCTGAACAGATCCTAAACGTGAGTTTATCAGCTGCAGTGTACATGAACCCTAAAAATACACTTCCTTTATGTATGAAATAAAAACAGGCTTGCTTTAAAACAAATAACCTTGCTTGGTGAACAGCCTCTACTCCTCTATCATATGGACCCTTGTCTGTTTGTGATTTATTTGGAGGCATGTTTTCAGAAATAATTTGATTTTCTTTCTAATCTTTCAGGACAGTTAAAACCTACTGGGTAACGAAGGGAAGTGAGTTCAGCACCAATATTACCAAACAAGAAACTGACCTTACTCCAGAAATGATTGCCAGGTAAAAAGTGTTTGTTACTTTGGCTGCTTATGCATGATAGTGTTGATCAATTCTTCAGGGTCTTTTTATAAAATATTAGTTTGGTGAATGTCGCAAACATTTGTCCAGACTGAGCACATTTTCCTTGTATTTTCTCTAATACTATTATTTGCTATGATGGTCAGCCCCATCTAGTGTTCAAAATGTGGTACATTTTCTGGTTGAGAATTTTAGAAAAATATACCAAATTTTGACTCTGTATTACATTTGTGTGATGTGGGAATGCACCCGCCCCATGTGCAGTACATTGTGCTGCCATTCATTGTGGATGGCACCCCAACATGCTGCAGTGCACTGCAAGGCATATACTGTGCATTGGGATATGCTGCTTTGTTAAAAAAAAAAAAAAAAAAAAATGTGTGTATGTGTATATATATGTATATGTGTATATATATATATATGTATATGTGTATATATATATATATGTATATGTGTGTATATATATATATATGTATATGTGTATATATATGTATATGTATATATATATATATATGTATATATATGTATATGTATATATATATATATATATGTGTATATATATGTGTGTATATATGTATATATATATGTGTGTATATATATGTATATATATGTGTGTGTATATGTGTGTGTGTGTGTGTATATATATATATATATATATATATATATATATATATATATATATATATATATATATATATATATATATATATGCTGTGGTGGGTTAACAAATGGCCTGAATTAATGCACTGGAAAAAATGCTTAGTGTTTTTTAAACCCTCTCATATACCCAGTGAAGTGACTGGCCTCCGATGATACACAGAGATGAAACAAATCCTCCTATATAGGTTTTACTTGTTTATCCGCAGTCTTCTCTTTTTCTATATCCCTTCAGAAGGGATGAATTGAGATAAAATCCTTCTGCATCTGTCAGTAGCACAGAGGAGGGGATGGGGAGCTGCAGTTAGCGCTCTTGTACAGTGTTTGAGAGCTGATTGGAGGAAAGGCACACAGCACAGGAACCATGCAGAGCTGTGTTGTGAATAGACAAGCTGTGTGCTGAGCTCTCCTCCCCATCAGGACAACTTGTCAAATGTGCCTCATGCTGATAACAGGGGAACGAAGCACCAAAGAGAAATGACACTTAGAACTTTGGAGAGAGACAAGTAAACACTACAGATGTATGTGCTTTGTTCAGATTTCTTGACTGAGGTTTACAACCACTGGAAGATGTACATACTTGCCTATTTCAGGCTGCTTCACTTCAGTCACAAGATCTCCCTTGTCATCCAGCAGCGGCTGCAGAGGAGAGAGCTCTCCAGCAATGGAAAAGCCTAGCGCGGTGACATCATAGGCTTCAATGGCCCATCCTTTGTTGCCGCTGCTTCGTCTACCCTGCAGCCCACGTTGGCTGACACGGTGTGGGATCACATGACCAGAGCACCTGAAAATAGGTATTTATTTTTTTTTTTTGCAAGAAAATTACTTAGAACCATAACCCCCCCCAAAAAAAAAAAAATTATATATATATATATATATATATATATATATAAAAATAATTTTTTTTAATATTTTTGGTTTTAAGCAGAAACCCGGAAGAATAAAATGGTGGGTGTTGCAAATTTTTGTGTCGCACAGTATTTGTGCAGCAAATATTTTTTCTCGCTATGTTTGCGGCAATACCTCCCGTGTAGTGTGAACTCAGTTTACATATGCATGTACGTTTGCATGCAAGCATAGGGGGGGGGACAGGGGAGCTTTAAAGAAAAAATATTTTATTTACATTTTTACACTCTTTTTATTTTTTTTAATCACTTTTATGGCTATCATAATTGATAAACATCGCTTGTGATAGCCCAAGTAGTGAAAGGTCCTCTTTATGGAGAAATTTGGGGTCTATTAGACCCCAGATCTCTCTTATGCCCTTAAAAGCATCTGTTCAAACCAAAATTGGTTTGATCAGATGCTTTCACAAGCCAGTAATGGCTTGTTTACATCTGAGCGAAACCGGAAGTGACAAACTACTCCTTGCTTTCGGTCTCTTTGATCTATGGTCAGCCGGTGGGACGAAGGATCTCGGGTAGAGGGGACCCCTTCTGCCTCCTGTAAAAGTGATCCAGAAGTATCCTTTGTGCTGGTCACTGGTATGTTCATTAAAATAGTAATTTCTCTGGCCCCCAGGTATCCCTGCAGCTGTAATCTTGTGGTGTTGCAGGGGTTAATACGAACCACTGGACCTGTCACAGGTACTCGTCAAACGTGTCCACTATGCCTGCCCTATCCGCCCCATGCTCCATTCATTAAAGCTATACTGTTGCTTCCCACAATAAAAAGCACTCTATGAATGGAGGAGGTGGACCTTTCATTCATCTGTCCGTCTTCCATTCATAAAGCGCTTTTTCATCAAGAGAAGTGATAGTGCAGCTTTTATGAATGTAGGAGGGGAGTAGAAAGGGCAGGCATAATCGGCAGTTTTGGTAAGTGCCAGCAATGGGTCCTGCGGCTCATATTATCCCTGCAGCACCAGAAGAACACAGATGGTGGGGGTATTTGGAGGGCTGAAGATCATGTTACACCTGTATTTAGGGTGTAACATTTAACGTGCAGTTATTGCGGCTGACGGTTTGTAGCGCTCAGTGAACAGCAGGGGGCGCTCAAGTAACTGCCTGTCTGTATCCTAGGTACAGGTAGACAGCCATCCTAAGAGTCTCTAGGAGCCTGACATTGCACCACCTATCTGCCCATCGTGGGTGCAATGCTTTTTACAGAGTCCTTAGAAAAGAAAAGAGTAAGTGCACATTTTTTATGTTTACCTAAAATTGTACTTACATTACTGACTTGGTCTGGTTCTTTGAATATAAAGACTATGACAGAGCTCTTTTTTTTTTTTTCTGGGCATAATCCTTTAAGTTGCTTTTTTTTTTTTTTTTTTCCCTTATTTTAGTTCAGTCTGAATTTGTTAGGTTTTATAAAGAATTAGATACAGAGAAGTTAATACACAAAATGTAAAGAATAAGCACAGTGAAGGTGTTCTTTATGTTGGTACAGAATATCTGAAAGCGGAGCTCCACCCAAAAGGGGAAGTTCCACTTTTTAGGCCTCATCCTCTGCTCACTGTTAAGGAATGACACATTTTGAGGGGGGCGGGGGGAGCGGGTACCCGATTTTGACAGGTACCCGCTCCCACTTTCGCTGCGATTGCTTAGACCAGGGGTAGGCAACCTGTGGCTCTCTAGGTGTTGTGGAACTACATTTCCCATGAGACATTGCAAAATTGACAGTTACAGCTATGACCTGCAGAGGCATGATGGAACTTGTAGTCCTGCAACAGCTTGAGAGCCGCAGGTTGCCTACCCCTGGACTAGACCATCAAAAGCCGAAGTTCTCTCCCCACCCCCCTACAGTTTTTGTAACTGCTGACTTTTCTTTTCACCAGAGACTGGAGCTCCGCTTTAACATGGTTTCTTCCCTTGTTTGTATTATTCTCTCTCCACTGATGTCTTGCTCTTTCCTTCTCCTTTTTTCTCTTGTTCTCTCTCGCAGTCTTGCTCTCCTTTTTCATATTGTGCCCTCTTTCTTTCTCGTTTGTTTTCTCTTCCATTTCTTGGTGTGATGATCGGATCGTCTGCTCATTTTCAGTGGCTCCTGGAACGACAAGAAATTCAAGGCATACAATTTCAATGCATTGGGCGTGATGCCAGAATGTGGTCACCTGCACCCTCTAATGAAAGTCAGAACGCAATTCCGACAGATTTTCCTAGAAATGGGGTGAGTAAGAGATGGCTGTGCCTCTTAGCCTGGCCTGGAGACATTGGTATGGTTAAAAATGAGGCACTGGAGAATGGTCTTGCTCACATTACCTGGTTCAGTGTCATGTTTTTGGGGAAGTTCTGTACATGCCTCCACTGCTACTGTCAAAGTTAAGAGCCAGATTTTAATTATTTGCCAGATTTAGTGGATCATATAAATATAACTACAGCCCTTTTTTTATAATTTTTTTTATCTGCTTTCCCGCTGCCCTACAGCAGAAATACTGCTACAGGGCGGTAGGGGTGCGCAAAATCACGTGTGTGTTTTGCATTGCCAGGTAGGGGACGCACGTGCCCTACCCACGCTGCCATTGGCGGCCTCACCTGTCGATCACCAGGTCCCGGCCAGTCATTCCCCACCGGCACCCTGCGATCACAGTGTATCACGGATGGAGGAGAGACCTATATGTAAAAAATACAGATCTCTCCCCTATCAGCTCCTGCACACTGCTCTTGCATAGCAGAGCAATACAAAGCAATGTGCTCACACAGTGAAGCATACTCACAGCACAGTTAACCCTTTGATCACCCCAGATGTTAGCCGTTTTCTGCCCAGTGTCATTAGTACAGTACCACTGTATTGGTGTAACTGGGGATGTCAGTGACAGTTGGTCAGTTCCCCCCAGAATTTCTCACCGCAGTCCTGCTGTAAGTCACTGATCACCGCCATTACTAGTAGAAAGAAAAAAAAAAATTCCAGCATCTATACCGCCGTTTGTAGATGCTATAACTTTCATATAAACCAATAATTTCTATGTATTGGGATTTTTTTTTTAGCAGATCTGTAGCAGAATACATTTTGGCCTAAATTTATGATGAAATTTGATTTGTAAATTTTTTTTTTTGTTTTACTGGACATGTTTAATAGCAAAGTAAAAAATATTGTTTTTTTTTTCTCAAAATTGTCGGTGTTGATGTTTTTTTTTTTTGCGCTATAAAAAAAAAGCAGAGGCTATCGAATACCACTGAAAGAAAAAAACTAGGGGGGAAAAAACTTAAATTTCATTGTGGTGTAGTGTTGCATGACCGCGCAATAGTCAGTTAAAGTAATGCAGCGCCGTATTGCAAAAAATTATCTGGTCAGGAAGGAGGGTAAATCCTCTGGAGGGCAAGTGGTTAAGAGAGCAGAAGAGGTAGAATTTTTGTCAAGTTCCTGTTTTTGTCTGTGACTCCTTGGAGAAATTTTCTTTGGTACAAATAGAGAGTGTGAATCTCCTTAATGAGGATACAAGCAGCAATAAATACCTAAAATAGTAAAATATTGTAGCGAGCGCTAAAAGTGTGTGTGTGTATGTGTGTGTATATGTATGTGTGTGTGTATATATATATATATATATATCTGAAAGCCCATAAGCCTTCAATAAAATCTCAGAATAAAAGTGCAGCGCTGGGCCTGGCATTGTTTTGCTGGCTGTTAGCTAATAAGGGAATTTAAGAAGGTCAAGGCCCATATTGTTGAAGAGCCTGGACGAGGCTGATTTATTTACCCTGGCTTGCCAATATCCTGTAACATAAGGGAGGCCGTCCACTCCAAGGCTGCATTCCGGACCACCCTAAGAAGGAATCCCTGACTGTTTCTACAGTATACGATACAACGCGCTATATTTATGCGCTTCTGGTGAGTGTGCATTTCATATACTTATTAGCACGCCCATCTGTGGATCCATACACTGGGATTTTACATAATCACCTGGAGATTATCCTGACAGTTTCGTCGGGAAGTTTTAACTAACATTTTAATGACAATTTATGTTTAAAAACGCCTCAGAGGTGCCTGTGCGTTCTTATGAAAGGGACTGTATTCCCATGCGTGTTTAGATATTTATTATAACGCATCTACTATTTATGTTTAATTGCTTGATAAGATTTCTCATATTGTTTTTAGTGCTGCACTTTTATTCTGAGCAATAAATACCTGACTGGTTCTAATCCCTCTTCACTCTATCAAAAAACTAAAAAAAAAATGTTTTGCCTTTTAGTTATACTTTAAGAAAATGCTTACAGTTGCAAGAAAAAGTATGTGAACCCCTTGGGATTACGTGGAGTTTTGCATGAATTGGGCATAAAATGTGCTCTGAATGTCATCTAAGTCACAACAATAGAAGAACACAGTCTGCTGAACATAATACTACACAAACATTAGATGTTGCCATGGTTTAATTGCACATAATCAAGGCTTTTGGAGATACTTTTGTAACCCTTTCCAGCTTCATGCAAGTCAACAATTCTTGATTGTAGGTCTTCTGAGAGCTCTTTTCTGCGAGGCATGGTTCACATCAGACAGTGCTTCTTGAAACCAGTAAACCCAAAACAGGTGTGTGTTTTTTTAAGGGCAGGACAGCTGTCAGCAACACATCCAATATCATCACACTGATTGGAGTCAAGCTTGGCTCACTCCTGGCTCCAATTAGCTCTGGGAGAAGTCATTAAGCTAGGGCCTCACATACTTTTTCCTCCCTGCACTGTGAATGTTTACATGTTATGTGCAATTAAACCATGGCAACATCTAATGTTTGTGTAGTATTATGTTCAGCAGACTGTGTTCTTCTATTGTTGTGACTTAGATGACGTTCAGAGCACATTTTATGCCCAATTCATGCAAAACTCCACTTAATCCCAAGGGGTTCACATACTTTTTCTTGCAACTGTACATACCAAATCATTGCTGATTTAGTAACATGTTACTCCCTGAATATGGGTGTAACATGTTATGAAAGGTGGAGTTGCTCTTCAGGTGTACATTAAAATGCTGTCCTCCTTTTTTTAAAAATGATTCATTCATTCTGCTGTTACCATCGGCTCTCATATCCTTCCTGCCTAGATGGTTGGATGTGCAGCCTCTAACGCCTCATGATCGACCACTCGACTACAAGAATGCAGCTTGCCTAACCATGCATGCGCAGTCTGCTGTCTTGCAGCATTCTCATAGCCAAGTGCTCATCCATTAGATATTGGAGCTAGTTATCAGATGTCCTGCCATCTAGGCTGGACAGAGAGGGGAGCCAACGGTAGAAGCAACTGTAAAGTAAGGATCATTTTAAAAATTAAGAACAGCATTTTCATGTACACATTTAAAGCTGTAATGCATATGGGATTTGTTTTTTAACTTTTAGTGATTGTAAAGTATACAATTTTTTAAAAATTTAAAATAACAAACAGGTTTATACAGTACTTGCCTGCTCTGTGCAATGGATTTGCACAGAGCGGCCTGAACTGTCTCTTTTTGGGTCCCCCGTCGGCGCTCCTGGCCCCTCCTCTTCTTGGTGGCATTAAACCCAAAAACAAAAATGTAATATATTGCAGCTTACCAATCATTAGAGGTGGTGGCTGCCTTAGTTTTCATTTTATGAGGCTCCCCCCCCTCCCTTTTCAGCTGGTGATCTAGCCAGTAATACACCTCCTCCTGTATTAGAGTGTCCCCGCTCTGAAATAAGGCCCATAGAGGCACCCTTGGACAGCAGTGTGACGGGAGTCACTTTGGGTGGGGGGCCCATGGAACACCGCTCACTCTGGAGAGGTTGGGGAGACCCCGGTCTCAGCTCCCCATATCCCTCCTATGTGTAAGTCACCCTGTGCCTGTTAGGGGTACAGGGTGGAATGTCCTGATATTGTGTAGACATGTATAGGTGGGGTGTGGGGGTTGTTTATTGTTTACTGCAATGTGGTGCATCGCATTCTAGCGTGTGTCTTGCTTAGGAGCAAACTATTATGGGATGTATGTGTTTGTGTATTGGCTTGGTGGGGGGTGTCTGCTGTTGTGTCTCTAGTCACTAGATTTGGTTTGCCCCGCCCTGTGTCCATATGCAGGGAGGGGGGTTGTTCCCTTGAAAGCAGTCTATTTCCTGGTTTCCTTCAAGTCTGGTGGTCTCTAGTCTTGTTTGGTCAGCGGTGGTGTCCGTGGATCTGTGTTCGGACAGGGAAGCGGGAGTCTAACGGAAATACCCAAGTGCAGTCAGGGTCTGGTTCCATTACAGTTCCACAGTTCCGCAGCATTGTCAGTCTGGGGTAGAGGAGTGTTAGATGTACTAGCAGATTTAGATACACTAACACATTGAAGCCAAACTCCAGCTAATACTTTATAAGCAGTTACAGCAAACAGTGTGTTTTATCCATTTGAGATAAATATTTTACATAAATAAAAGCTGATCATGGTAAGCAGTCAGTGGTAAATGGTTTGTTTGTCTCATCCCTGTAACCGCTGCATCTGCAAGAGAGCTTAATCTTTTGAAAAACAGAATAAGGGCTCGTTCACACTTGACTGTCTTACCAACTGTTGCCAAACGCCCCTATAGCGTTTGGCAAACATTGGTCCGGCGTTTGCGGAGCGTTTTTTAACGCTCCACAAACACCACATGCGCGGCTCAGCGGCGGTTGCTAGGCATTTGCCGAGCGTTGGAAACGCCCTACAAACGCCTATAATGAAGTTTGAATGGTGTTACCGCTCCGCAACCGTACCGCAAACACCGGCGTTTGCGGAGTGGCACCATAGACTAGAATAGGAGGCTTCAACGCCTCCTGACTCGACCAAAGGCGTCCGTTTTGACGCGACGCTAACGCTCCCGTTAGAACAGCACCATGTGCTGCAATGTGCAGAATTGTCCGAGGTGTTTGGGAAGCGGTAAAAACGCTTCCCAAATGCCTTTCTGCCGCCTGCACACAATGCTAGTGTGAACGTAGCCTTACTGCCTTGATGACCAGGAAAAAATAAGGGAAAGAAAGTCTAGAATAGAAAACTAATGCAGTCAGTCTAAGCTGCAATATAATAAATGTTTACTTTTGTTGTTAATATTGCTTTAAATTCCTTCACTCACATAACAGCCCTTGTCAGATGTATCCCAAGGTATTTTGGTATTTTTGCTCAGCCTTGTCTATGTACTCCTATGAAGGATTCAGTGGTCTGCGTATTTCATAGACAAGGCTGTGATGGTTGTCCAGACGTGATATCTCTTAAATGTTACGAAAAACTAGTAAACTATAAAATGTGATGGTTTCTACTTACAACTGTACAAGACTATAAACTTCTTGTAACAAATTTTCTTTAAAGTCAACAACTCTATCTTTGACTGGTGATTGTATTGTAATGTTTTCCTCCAGCTTTACGGAGATGCCAACCAATAACTTCATAGAGAGCTCATTCTGGAACTTCGATGCCTTGTTTCAGCCTCAGCAACACCCAGCCAGAGATCAGCATGACACCTTCTTCTTACAAGGTCTGTATGGTGTGCTGTGTATAACTGCCAATCACAATATATTTTTATTATAGTAAGATCTAATAATAATTCTGTCTTGCTATTACAGATCCAGCAATGGCGTCAGAATTCCCCATGGATTATCTTGAGCGTGTGAAGAAAGTTCATTCTGAAGGAGGATATGGCTCACAAGGGTGAGTGTCCTGTCATTGTCAACATCTTTGCACTGCTTCTCGGTGGTGTCACCTTGTGGTACGAAGGACAGGCTCCGTGTCACATTGCTCCTCCAGGATAATGTCGCCCTGTGGTGGGACAGACTTCATGTCACATAGCTCCTCCTGTCTGTGTAACCCTGTGGTGGGAAGGATAGACTCCATGTTACATAGATCTTCCTGGGTGGTGTCACCTTGTGGTAGGTGGGACAGACTCCATGTCACATAGCTCCTCCTGGATGGCCGCCTTGTGGAGAAGGGACAGACTCCATGTCACATAGCTCCTCCTGGATGGCCGCCTTGTAGTAGAAGGGGCAGACTCCATGTCACATAGCTCCTCCTGGATGGCCGCCTTGTAGTAGAAGGGGCAGACTCCATGTCACATAGCTCATCCTGTCTGTGTAGCCCTGTGCTGGGAGGGACATACTCCCTTGCATAGCTCCTCCTGGATGGTGTCACCTAGAGGTAGGAAGGACAGACTCCATGTCACATAGCTCCTCCAGGGTTCTGTCACCTTGTGGGAGGGACAGACGTCACATAGCTCCTCCTGTCTGTGTAACTTTGTGGTGGGAGAAACAGACTTTATTTCACATAGCTCCACCTCCCAGTGTTGGGAGGGACTGGCTCCTTGTCACATAGCTCCTCCTGAGTGATCACCTTGTGGTAGGAGGGACAGACTCCATGTTGCATAGCTCCTCCTGTCTGTGTCAACTTGTGGTTGGGAGGGACAGACTTCATGTGACATAGCTTTTCCTGGGTGGTGTCACCTTGTGTTAGGAAGGACAGACTCCATGTCACATAGCTCCTCCTGTCTGTGTAGTCTTGTGATTGGGAGGGACAGACTTCATGTTGCATAGCTCCTCCTGGGTGGTGTCACCTTGTGGTAGGTAGGACAGATTCCATGTCGCATAGCTCCTCCTGTCTGTGTAGTCTTGTGATTGGGAGGGACAGACTTCATGTTGCATAGCTCCTCCTGGGTGGTGTCACCTTGTGGTAGGTAGGACAGATTCCATGTCGCATAGCTCCTCCAGGGAGTTGTCACCCTGTGGTCAGAGGGACAGACTTCATGTCATATAGCTCCTCCTGTCTGTGTAACCCTGTGGTGGGAAGGACAGATTCCATGTTACATAGATCTTCCTGGGTGGTGTCACCTTGTGGTAGGTGGGACAGACTCCATGTCGCATAGCTCCTCCAGGGTGGTGTCAGCTTGTGATAGGAGGGACAGACTCCATATCACATAGCTCCTCCAGGGTGGTGTCACCTTGTTGTAGGAGGGACAGACTCCATGCCTCCTTCTGTCTGTGTCATCCTGTGGTGGGAAGGATATACTCTGTCACATAGCTCCTCATGTTTGTGCCACCTTGTGGTGAAAAGGACAGGCTCCATGTCACGTATGCCTGTCTTGTCTGTGTCACCCATATTCAAAAGTGTCACTATATTCTTTGCAGCTATAAATATGACTGGAGTATCAGTGAGGCCAGGAAGAATATCCTGCGGACACATACGACAGCAGTCAGTGCACGAATGCTGTACAAACTGGCTCAGCAGGTAACTATGGGCTCTGGAGCTGTGCGGTGGTTATTGCATGCATTATCTAACACACATTGATCATTAAACACCATATTTTTACTATCAAATTTTCCTGTTTAAAATTGTATAATATATGTTCTTATAGTCATTTGCTCTTAAGGTCCTGCCTGAATTCACCTTTCTCTTGCTGTAGGAATAGAACTTTGCAAGGTAAAGCTGTGTGCACAAATCTTATCTTGTTTAATGTTTCTGCCCTGCAGGAGGCGTTCACACCAGTGAAATATTTCTCCATTGACCGCGTGTTTAGGAACGAGACGCTAGATGCCACCCATCTAGCAGAGTTTCATCAAATCGAAGGCGTGGTGGCAGATTACGGCCTGACACTGGGGGATCTGATGGGTGTTCTGAAGGAATTTTTCAATAAACTTGGTAAGCTGAATGTTCTAATAATAGTATATGTATGATGGGTATGAAAGGAGCAGGTTTTGCTACACTTACTTTAAGGGCTCATCCACATTTACAATGCAGTCAGAATGCGGAGTAATCCATGTTTGGCTATTATGCTGATCCTTTGGGTTCCATTGTTATAAATGTAATGTCTGCTCTACATCTTTGTTTTAGGAATCGCCAAATTGCGTTTCAAGCCTGCATATAATCCTTACACCGAGCCGAGCATGGAGGTCTTCAGCTACCATGAAGGTAATGTCCTAAACCAGACTATTATGTTATTCCAACGTGTGTGCGTGGCTTGTGTTCACATAGAAGGTCCAGTTTCTGCTAAATATATAAGAACTGGACCTCCTCAGCATAAATGAGAATACATGAATGAGAATACAGCGCAGATATTTTTTCTTTTTCCAATAGTATTAATAGTAAGCTTTCTTTATGTGTTCCGGGTTCTTTCAGCATACAAAATGGTGTCAAGTGGTATAAATATGACAGGTGATGGAGATTTTTACTGTATATATGTGTATGTGTGTGTGTATGTATATGTATGTGTATATATATATATATATATATATATATATATATATATATATAGTATGTTTGTGTGTGTATGTATATATTTGTGTGTGTATGTGTATATATATATATATATATATATATATATATTAGTTGTGCTCAAAAGTTTGCATCCCCTGGCAGAAATTGTGAAATTTTGGCATTGATATTGAAAAATATGACTGATCATGCCACAAAATGATCTTTTATTCAAGGATGATGATCATATGAAGCCATTTATTATCTATATAGTTGTTTGGATCCTTTTTAAATCATAATAACTGAAATGCATTTATTTATGGTACTCGTGTAGCACCATCAATTTACACAGCGCTTTACATACATATTGTACATTCACATCAGTCCCTAACCCTCAAGGGGCGTACAATCTAAGGTCCCTAACTCACATACATACATACATACACATACTAGGGACAATTTAGACAGGAACCAATTAACCTACCAGCATGTCTTTGGAGTGTGAGAGGAAACCGGAGTATGTGGAGGAAACCCACGCAGGCACAGGGAGAACATGCAAACTCCATGGCTGGGATTTGAACCAACGACCCTAGTACTGCCAGGCGGAAGTGCTAACCATTTAGCTACTGTGCTCACGCAAATGGCCATGGTCAAGTTTCCCTCCCCTGGAATGTTTGGCCTGGGTACAGACACACAAGGTGACACACACGGGTTAAAATGCCAATTAGAGGTTAATGTTCCACATCTGTGGCTTTTTAAATTGCAATTAGTGTCAGTGTATAAATAGTCAATGAGTTTGTTACCTCTTACGTGGAAGCACTGACTGGGCAAGATACTGAGCCATGGGGATCAGAAAAGAACTGTCAAAAGTCCTGTGTAACAAGGTAATGTAACTTTATAAAGATAGAAAAGGACATATCAAGATGTCCAAAGCCTTGAATATGCCAGTCAGTACTGTTAAATCACCTATTAAGAAGTGGAAAGTTCGGGGATCTCTTGACACCAAGCCAAGGTCAGGTAGACCAAGAAAGATTGCAGCCACAACTGCCAGAAGAATTGTTCGGGATACAAAGGGAAACCCATAGGTAACCACAAGAAAAATACAGGCTGCTCTGGAAAAAGACAGTGTGGTTGTTTTGAAGGAGCACAATATGATGACACTTGAAGAAAACTGATCTGCTTGGTGGAGGTGCCAGAAAGAAGCTTTTACTGCATTAATGACACAAGAAGGCCCGGTTAGGCATGTCAAGGTGTTGTCAGGCATATTATAACCGGGCTTTTTTGTGGCATTGGTGCAGTAAAAGCTTCTTTCTGGCACCTCGACCCAACAACTCATTTTTGTTCAAGTATCACTGCATTGTACTCCTTAAAAACAACCACACCATCTTTTTCCAGAGCAGCCTGTTGTTCTTTTGAGGTTGCCTGTGGGGGTTTTTCTATGAATCCCGGACAATTCTTCTGGCAGTTATGTATGTGTGTGTGTATATGTATATATATGTATGTATATAAAAAATTTCAAGCTATACATAGAAACGATATACAATCCAAATAAAGCTGCGCACCCTGTTCGTTGGCTCTATTGGATGTGATAGTCACATATTTGATATTTGTGCTGGGCAACAGTGTTTTTGATCTGACAAAGGAGCACAGAGCTGTCATTAGAATTGTAAACTGAGAAACAGATTTCCCTGAGTGGAAACTTAAGGGATGTCAGAAGCTGTTGATTTGATTCTGCAAGGGGGGAGTATCTACCAGAAAACTGCAGTATCATTTCTCAGCAGACTTGGCCCATTGTATTCCTTAATAAATGATTACATTTTAGGTGTCGATTATATAACTGACATAATCTCTTATAATCCCCATATTCCTGTAATAAAACAAATGAGTATGTTCCTGATCTTCCGGGCAAAATCCCCTCTCTGGCTCCACTCGTTGCTAATTGAGGGATTGGAAATGGTTGCATAATACAAAGCTGCTTACCATAAATGACAGAAGCCGTGGAACCCTCATAAATATACAAATGCGGCAGTATGTGAAGTCAGTATCAACCTTCATCTGCATCACAGATGCAGATCACAAACTACAGTAAGCAAAGATAATGAAGTCTAAGGGAAATTTTAAAGGTCTTGAAGGAGAAAAGGTTTGGACGGGGTTTGGAGGGGAGGGGAACCTAGAGATTCAATTAAAAATACAGGGCTGTTTTTTTTTTTTTTTTTTTTTTTTTTTTTTTTTTTTTTTTGTCTGTGTTTTTTCTTGTTTTTAATGTAATGTGTTAGTCAAAACACACTCACACCTCAAAAAAATGAAAGGAACACTCTGAAAACACACCAGATCTCAATACGGAAAAATCTCATACGCTGGATATCTATACTGACATGGACGGGGTAATGTGTTAGGAACGTAAGGATGCCCCATTGTTTGATGGAAATGAAAATTATCAACCTACAGAGGACTAAATTCAAAAAACACCCCAAAAATCAAAGTGAAAAAAATGATGCAGCAGGCTAGTCCATTTTGCGGAAATATCATTGCAGCAACTCAAAATGGTACTCAGTAGTTTGTATGGCCCCCACATTCTTGTATGCATGCCTGACAACATCGGGACATATTCCTAATGAGACCATGGATGGTGTCCTGGGGGATTTCCTTCCAGATCTGGACCAGGGTATCCCTGAGCTCCTGGACAGTGTTAGGTGCAACCTGGTGGCATCGGATGGACTGAAACATGATATCCCAGAGGTGTTCTATTGGATTTAGGTCACTTGAGTGTGGGGGCCATTCAATGTATATCAATTCCTTCATCCTCCAGGAACTGCCTGCATACTCTCGCCACATGAGGCCGGGCATTGTCGTGCACCAGGAGGAACCCAGGCACTTGTGCAAGGAGAAACAGGGTGAGCACTGCCAGAGCCCCACAAAATGACCTCCAGCAGGCCACTGGTGTGACTGTTTCTGACCAAACAATCAGAAACAGACTTCATGAGGGTGGCGTGAGGGCCTGACATCCTCTAGTTGGCCCTGTACTCACTGCCCGGCACCATAGAGCTTGATTGGCATTTGCCATTGAACACAGAATTGGCAGGTCCACCACTGGCGCCCTGTGCTTTTGACAGATGAGAGCAGGTTCACCCTGAGCATATGTGACAGATGTGAAAGTGTCTGTAGAAGCCGTAGAGCATGTTCTGCTTCCTGAATATCATTCAGCATGACCGTTTTGGTGGTGGGTCAGTGATGGTCTGGGGAGGCATATCCATGGAGGGACGCACAGAGCTCTACAGGCTAGACAATGGCACCCTGACTGCCATTACGTATTGGGATGATATCCTTGGACCCAACCCCCGAAAAACAACCCTATACCATAATCCCCCCTCCACCAAACTTTACACTTGACACTCTGTCAGGCAAGTACCGTTCTCCTGGCAACCACAAAACCCAGACACGTCCATCAGTTTACCAGACAGGGAAGCATGATTGGTCACTTCAGAGAATACGTCTCCAATGCTCTAGGGTCCAGTGGCAACGTGCTTTACACCACGGCGTCCAACACTTTACATTGCACTTGGTGATGTAAGGCTTGGATGCAGCTGCTTGGCCATGGAAACCCATTCCATGAAGCTCTCTACGCACGGTTATTATGGTAATCTGAAGGCCACACCAAGTTTGGAGGTCTTTAGCTATTAACTCTGCAGACAGTACCAGCATAGGGTCTGACGGTGGGTCCAAGGATTTCCATTTTGTATGGCTCAAATCGGATCGCATCCGCACCAAAAAGGTACAGGACCCTTTTTGTTTTTATCTGCACCTGAATCTCATTGCATTGGTGTTCTCTCCCATGTGATGTGATTTCTAGCAATCACACTGCATTTTGCAATCTGTGTCTCGGTGTCATTAATTTAACATTGACACCCACACCAGATCGCATGAATGCCAATGCGATTGCTATACAGTGCGAGAAACGCACAGAATTTGCTGTGTTTCCCGCACTGCATTAGTGTGAACCCGGATGTTCTTGACAAATATATGCTTTGACGTGTAATTGTACACAAACACATTGGCTTTGATGAGAGTAACAGGATGTTAATTCATTACTCAGCCTTTTATTGCATGAGTTTAATCTGATATTAATAAAGTTGTATAATTTTATCTAGCCGGTTGGTTATATGTGCTACTCGTACGTCACGTAGAAGCGGTTATACTGGGATGATTAGCCGCTGGATTGCTTTTATAGACACACCGGGGAGCCCAGGTCTGAAGCATGCAGTTATGCGGGCTGACCATAGAGCTGATTTTGAAGACCAGAACATCCCTGATCATCTCTATGATATAAGAAACTGGAAGCGACAACCATTTTGGCACTTCCACTTTCACAGTATGTAAACAAGCCATTACTGGCATGTGAAAGCATCTGATCACACAGATCTTGGTTTGATCAGATGCTTTGAGGGCAGAGGGGGGACCTGGGGTCTATTAGACCTCATATCTCTCAATAAAGATGACCTGTCTCTGCTCCAACTATCACAAGGGATGTGATAGCAATAAAAGTGATAAAAATAATGTAGAGTACCCCCATCTCATTGTGCCCATGTGCTAACGTATTCCTCAGTCCCGCACACAGACATAAATGGCGATTGCACCACACATGTGGTATCACCATGAACGTCCAAGTTAGAGCAATAATTCCAGCATCAAACCTCCTGTGTAATTCTAAACTGGTAACTTGTAAAGGCTTTTAAAGTGTCGCCTATGCCGATTTCTAAGTACCGTAGTTTGTCGCCATTCCACGCGCATGTGCAATTTTAAAATGACATGTTGGGTATCTATTTGCTTGACCTAACATCATACAGGTGTACCTCTGTTTACAAATGCCTCGGTTAACGTAATTTTCTGTTTACAAATGAAAATCCATTGAAAATAATGCCTTGGTTTACGAATGGTTTATGAATTTTTTTCCCAATTCAAAATGTATGTCGGTATCGGGTTTTAAATGCAATTGTCGGCTTTTTTTTTTCTTCACTATAGCTCAGAGAATTAGCTGTCACTTGCCCCAGAGCTAAAGGAAGCTTTGTTTAAGAAACTAAAAGGAAACATTATTTCTTTTAACTTGGGGAAATAATCTAAAAGGAAACTTTTTCTTTTAGCTGGGGGGAAAGTGACAGATGAATCTCTGAGCTATAGTGAAGAAAAAAAAAAAAAGCGGTAATTACATTTAAAAACTGGCACCATAATAAATAAGACAAACCGGCATGGGGTCCCCCCTCCAATCCATACCAATGCCTTCGGGTCTGGTATGGATTTTGAGGAGAACTCCCACGCCAAAATTAAAAGAAAAAAAAAAAAAAAAAAATGGCATGGGGGTCCCACCCAAAATCCATACCAGACCCTTATCCGAGCATGCAGCCCTACAGGACGGGGGGGGGGGGGGGGGGGGGGGGGGGGGGGGGGGGGGGGGGGGCAGGGGAGGAGCGAGTGCCAAACCCCCATCCCCGAACCATACCAGGCCACCCCCATGTGAATGAGTATGGGGTACGTGGTTCCGATACTCATACACAAAAAACAAAATGTGTAGCGTGAAAAAAGACAGGACTCCCTCTTTGACGAGTCCTTTTATTAAAAGTAAAAACTAAAAGCATGTCCTCCACAGTAGATCCAACGTCAATCATGATGCCCGCTGTCGACCTGACAAAAAGAATTAAAAAAAAAGGCTCTGCTTCCGACGATGGCTCCCACCATCTGCCTGCTTCGGTGGTTTGACAGTTCTTAATTAGGAAAGGGGCAGGGACATCACCCGAGTGACCCCGCCCCATGTGGCATCATTGATGTCGCATGGGGCGGGGGTCACATGCTTAATGTCCCAGGTAGCCCCGCCCCTTACCTATTTATGAACTGTCAAACCACCAGAGCAGGCAGATGGCGGGAGCCATCGTCGGGAGCAGAGCCTTTTTTTTATTCTTTTTTTTGGAGGCAGCAGCGGCGGGCATCGTGATTGACGTTGGATCTACTGCAAGGGACATTCTTTTAGTGTCTTCCTTTATTAAAGGACTTGTCAAAGACCGTGTCCTGTCTTTTTTCACACTACACTTTTAATTTTTTGCGAATGAGTATCGGGACCATACACCCCATACTCATTCATATAGGGAGGGGGGCCGGGATCTGGGACCCTGCCCGCCGACCCCCACAACCACCGGCCAGGGATGTGGGGAAGAGGCCCTTGTCAGCATGGGGACAAAGTGCTTTGGGAGGGACCCCCGCTACCCCAAAGCACCCCCCCATGTTGAAGGCATGTGGCCTGGTATGGTTCAGGAGGGGTTGGACCGCTCGCTGCTCCCCATCCCCCCCCCCCCCCCCCACCCCCCGCCATGGTTTTTTGTTTTTTTTTTCTTTTTTAATTTTTGTGTGGGAGTTCCCCTCAAAATTTATACCAGACCCGAAGGGCTTGATATCGATGGGAGAGGGGACCCCGTACCGTTTATTTATTTATTTTTTAATTGCCGGCAATTCTTTTACATTCAGCTGTCAGTGGGGAACCCCGCTGACAGCTTAAACAATAGCACATGGTTCTCACTACTAAAATACCACAAGACTTGATAAAATAACTCAGGCAGTATTTTAGTAATGTTTACTTTTTTCTGACCTCAGGAACGGATTAATTGGTGTTCAATGCATTCCTATGGGAAACGGCGTTTAGTTTTATGAATTTTTCGCTATACGAAAAATCTTGCAGAAGAAATTAAATTCATAAACTGAAGTATGCCTGTATTTTATATTTTACCAAACTATTGGGTATTGTGTTTTTCTGCATTAAAATTAATTAAAGTGTATTTTTTCCAAATTGATTTTCAAAAACTGCGCAAATGCCATGTGGCATTACAAATTGCACCACCCACCATTTTTTTCCTTGGGGTCTCTGCTTAAAAAATATATAATGTATGGGGGTTCCAAGTAAATTTTCTAGCAAAAAAAATGCTGTTTTTTTTTTTTTTTTTTTACATTTATGTGAAAAGTGTCAGAATAGGCTCAGGGCTGAATTGGGTAAAGTCCCTGACACCCACTATTTTTATTTCTGTTTGTATCAGAGTAAGTCACGTTATTGTGTCCTGTTGTGGTTATTTAGGTTCCTGATTCAGCTAAGAAGCTAACATAATTTCCTTTTTTCACAGGCTTGAAGAAGTGGGTGGAAGTGGGAAACTCTGGAGTTTTTCGGCCAGAGATGCTGCTGCCTATGGGGCTTCCTGAAGGAGTGTCTGTCATTGCATGGGGTCTGTCACTGGAGAGGTGAGCTGAAGAAAACATGCCAATGCACCGCCGTCCATATCCATGCTCAAAGTTCAGCCATTTGTGTGTTCCACAGAATATATCCATTACACAAGAAAGAGTTACACATAAAAGTAGAAGTAAAGCTTGGTATGGTTTTGCACTTGACAGCTGTAGACCCTCTACTGTTGGGTTATGCGTTCTCTTCTAGTTCTTTCCAGAGCAATACCCACTGCTCTTCCATGGTCTGTTACACAGTACGGGTTGTTGTACCCTGGAGAACTGCAGTGTGGCGAATCTACAGAAAGTGCTGACTTTCCTGTAGTTCAGACCTGAAGCAAGTATCCCATCCCATAAGACAGTTTATTCACCTCCGTGACCATTGGAGAGGCAGCTATGTAACATCACAATATTTCCTACTAGCTTTTTCAATGGCTGCAACCCAGGAGCCCCTGAAGGTAAGGTGCCTGCAGCATTTAACTTCCACTTTCCTGTAGGCTGGAGGAAAGGTGCACCTTACAATGCAGATGTCTCTCCTTAGATGTCTGAGATGATTATTATTATACAGGATTTCTATATACCGCCAACTGTTTGCTCAGCGCTTTTCAATATAAAGGGAGACAATACAGTAAAATACAAGAGGGATAGGAGGGCCCTGCTCCTTGGAGCTTACAATCTAGGAGGGAGGGGCTAGTGGTACAAAAGGTAATAATTGTAGGGAATGGGCTGGTAGGAGGAGTAGAAGATTCCAGTATTAGCTGAGGGCAGGATAGGCTTCCCTGAAGAGAGAGGTTTTCAGAGATCGCCTAAAAGTGAGCAGAGTAGGCGATAGTCTGATAAATTGGGGTAGAGAGTTCCAGAGGATGGGGGAAGCTCTGGAGAAGTCCTAGAGACAAGCATGGGAGGAGGAGGCAAGGGAGCTAGAGAGCAGGAGATGTTTACAATGCCTTCTAAGATGCATTTGTGTGGTCAGCAGCTTCAATTTGGGGATCCATTTACACCACTGTGCCGCAGTAATGCATGTTACGTGGTGGTGTGTTGTGGTGCTATTTATTGTGAATGATACTATAAGTCGCCTTCACAACCACCTTTTTTTATATATTCATTTTGGTGTGTTAGGCAGCCCATTCAGATAAATAGGTGTAATACAAATGTATAGTCATGGCCATAAATACTGGCACTTCTGCATTTCTGTCAGATAATGCACCACTTTGCCCAGAAAATTGTTGCAGTTACAAATGTTTAGGCATTCTCATGTTTGTTGGCTTTTTGTTTCTCTACTTTTTTGTGCCATAATAATGCAAACAAAAGAAATAAACAAGAATGCCTAAACATTTGCAATGGGGGGGGGTGCTAATATTTTTGAATGAGGAAAGAACAAACAGAGGGTGCACAGGCCTAGTGCATTAGCATACAAAATGTTTAATAAGAAATAAAGTAGGTGTTGTACTCACAAATGACAATAAAGTCGGCACATCATGAAAGAACAGCTGGATCAACACCCAACTTCCTCAGAGGCAAGTCCTCGAAACGCGCCAGCCTATTGGATATCTACACTCCCTATTGCGGACTGTTACTCAGCGCGGTGTTGACCCAGCTGTTCTTTATGATGTGCCTTGACTTTATTGTTGTTTGTGAGTACAACACCTACTTTATTTCTTATTAAACATTTTTTATGGTAATGCACTAGGCCGGTGCGCCCTCTGATTGTTCTTTCCTCATTCAGTATATTTGGATTCCCCCGGTCTATTGAGGGCAGCAAGGTGTGCATGTTCCAGGACATTCCTTATGTGGTTGTAGCCTGCATCAAGTCCATCCCCAAGCGCAGGAGCATTTGTGTTTGCTGGCTAATATTTTTGGCCATGACTGTATGTTAAAGTGGAGGTCCAGTCAAAATTAAAAAAAAATAAGTCAGCAGCTACAAAAACTGTAGCTGCTGACTTTTGTAAAACACTCACCTGTCCCACGATCCCACAGTGTGCTCAAGCCGGCCAAGTTCACCATCCCAGCCCCGGCATCTTCATTGTGGTCATCTGGCTGTGACAACTTGCGGCTTTGTGAATGGTCCCGTAGTCTCCTGGGACCTGTTACATGTCCCAGAAGACTCGGGGAGGGCAACTTTCACTTTGAATCGCCTAGGCGGTGGCGGTGGGAGTGGGTACCTGTCAAATTTGGCAGCTTTTGGAGAGTGGGGGATGAAGCCTTAAAGCAGAACCTCCTCCTTTTGAGTTGAGTTCAGCTTTGCGTATTAAATGCCTACATTTCCTTTCTGCAGATGGTTGGGGACATACAAGGGGAACTACAGCCATACTTTAGGATGGCACAATCTTCCATTTCCGATGGTGGTAGCTGCCCATCTCGAAGATTAGTTTAAAATAATTAAGATGCTTACAAAAGCTTACTATGTACACACATTGATTTTTGCGCAAAATGTATTTGTGAAAATGTATTTCAGATTCTTATCTGCTTTTGTTCTGACTTGCATATTGGTGTATGCCTTACCAGAACCATTTTTTCAGCTGACTGCTAACTGGAGTGATGTGCATTCATTGCAACGACCTGAACACCCCTATAAGGATCCATTAGACCAGAGAAAGCATTTATGTTCATACAATTTAATGGCCATTTTAGCAATGTTGTAAGCCGTGGTTAGTTTGCAAATAGCTGGCTTCAGTCAGCCAGATCTCTACTGTGGTCAGGGGATCTATGGGGGGGGGATTTAAAGGATCACCTTTGGAAAATGTTACATGTTCCACCCATTTTTAGGGTGGAACATGTAACATTTTCCCACTCCTGCACCGTCTCACCCCAATCTGCACCCTCCCTGTGACAGCTGCCAAGGGATCTTTTCCTGCACCTGTTGCCACAATTTGTAAACAGCGCGGCCCTGCGGAGCTCCACTAACGCAGCCGTATCATCATGCATTTGCAGAATTCTGTGAATGAACTACAAGTACCATCGGGCAGCGTTTGACGCTGGTGAGCACTCTTGTAGTTGATTGATTCTTCCTGCTATCCCGTAACTGCCTGCCCATATGAGTGGTACAGGCAGACAGCTGATTGAGTGTCTGCAGGAACCTGCTAATCTGCTAATCATGAGTGCAAATATTTACAGTCTGCAGAGTGGGAAAAGAAGATAATAAATGTACATCTATTTGAGGTTAAAAAAAAAAATGCATTTATTATTTCTTTACAAAAGGAAAAATTAGCCTTTAACCACTGGCCTACTGGGACTTTTACCCCCTTCCTGCCCAGGCCAATGTTCAGCTTTCAGCGCTGTCGCACTTTGAATGACAATTGCACGGTCATGCAACACTGTACCCATATGAAATTTTTATATTTTTTTTTTTACACAAATAGAGCTTTCTTTTGGTGGTATTTAATCACCACTGGTTTTTTTTTATTTTTTGCACTATAAACAAAAAAAAAAATGAAAATTTTTGAAAAAAAAAACTTTCTTTGATTCTATAACATTTTGCAAACAGGTAATTTTTCTCCTTCACTAATGTGCGTTGATGAGGCTGCACTGATAGGCAGCACTGATGGACACTAATAGGTAGCACTGAAGGGCACTGGCTGCCGGCACTGATGGGCACAGATTGGCAGCACTGCTGTGCAGCAGTGTTGGGCACTTTTGGGGCTGCACTGATAATCAATGCCCTCATTATCAGTGCAGATATCTCCTTTCACAGTTACCGGTTATCGACAGGATTTTCCTCACACTGTAACAGCGTCAGAAAAGTACTGCCGATAAACGGCACAAGTGTATTTACATGGTGGTCAGCTGAGATTGGACACAGCTGATCACGTGGTAAAAGGCCGCTGTAATTGGCGTTTTACCATGTCATGTGATCAGCCGTGCCCAAAGGACACAGCGTTCACAGACAGTGACGAGTGAGTGCCGCTGGGGGTGCGTTCTGGGAGGACATTATATGACATCCTCCCAAAACTGGACGACTGTGCTGTAGCCATCATTTGGCTATAGCATGGTAGGGAAGTGGTTAAGCGTGGCGTGTGTCAATTGCGATGGTGGAGGAGTCAACCCTGCATTTGCCAGGGTTAGAATGCCAACCTATTGTCAGGGAAAGGAGCTTTGTGAATGTGGTACGCGCCACTCATGACTGTTTCCTGTGCCATTCTAATGGCATATGAAGCTTTTAATTCCCCAGCATGTGCTTGTAGTATGATGCAGACACCTGAAGATGTCTCAGCTTTTCTGCTTGGCTCATTTGAAACAACATTCCCAGCAAAAATTAGCATCATAGGTAAAGTACCGACTGATTGGACAATAAAGCAGAGAATGGATTAGGGTGAACGTCATATCAACGGCATTACATGCAGCAAGAGTCAGGTGAGGAGTTGAAAACTGATTGGATTACCTTCAGTGTCACTGTTGACAAAGTGAACAGCCTGGTTGCTGATTAGCCTGTCCTATGTTAATCCCGACCACATAATCTCTGTAGACTGGTGACCGTACCCTCATTAGAGACCTGCTCCACTTCTGAACATGTAAACAAACACTTTTGACTCCTATAAATGCTTGTGTGATATCTCTCATAATTGCCATCCATAATGCAGTTAAAGTGCAAAAAATGTAAAGTTTGACTGCCACTTTGTGCAACGTTTTGAAATTGGGAGTTTCAGCACTGCAGTTGCATGATGGTGTTGAGAGTAAACCGTTAAAGGGGTAACCTCCCTAGTGGTCTGATTATGTCCTTATTTCTGTGCTCAAATTGGTACATTTTTTTGCATGGAAATATGTATTTTTTTATTGTAGGCCTGTAATTCTTAGGAATAACTCACTGAAATCTGTCCGAACAAGAGTCTAGTAAACATCCCGGGTATGTTAAAATTTGAAACACAAAATCATAAATTATAATTTAATAAAAAATAATATAAATTGAATTCAATAATATCAAACCAAAAACACGGAAATTTGAAATAGAGCGCCAAGTTCGCACATCGCTGAGCAAAGTTGCAAAATCGTTTTCAGTGTCTGATGACGAATATTCCCCACGAATCATTATCACTCAATTCTGCAAGTGGTTCTAATTTACTATCGCTGTTTAAAACCGCTTTTGACCTAACGGAACGCTTTTTGGACGCCATGGACGTTTCTCAGTTTCCAGGCAAAAAGAACAGTAAAAATGCAGGCAGGGCGCCGGACAAAGCACTCGGGACAAAATGTATGTGAAATGGTTTGATACAGTAATGTTATACTATGTGATTTTAGTTAATGTCACTTTTTGACATTTTTAAATTTCCCGCCGGTTACGTTCCCCGTACGTCCCGACGGCGCAGGGAACGGAACCCAGAAGACCGATGCCGGCATCAGCCGGAGGACATTGCCAGGGACACTGCAGGAGGGACATTGCGGGAGCGCAGGACAAAGTAAGTTCTGGAGGGATCCCGGAGCAACGCTGCAGTGTATTCCCGAGTGTAGTTCGGGGTTACCGCTTGTGGTGCTGAAACTTTACCCCGAGCTACACTCAGGAATACCTCCAGGGATGTTAATTTCACCCAGACAGATATTTGAAATTTATTGAAGGTTATTTCAATATTTAAATCTATTCTATATGAAACCTAAACCTACTCTATTAGCAGCTATGTCTGAGAGAGAGAAAAAAAAATACATTTCCCTTAATGCTGGACTGACCCCTAAAAAAAACACAATGACTGTAATTCTATCTTTGTTTCAGACCGACGATGATCAAGTATGGCATTAATAACATTCGAGAGCTGGTGGGGCACAAAGTCAATCTACAGATGGTCTATGACAGTCCGATATGCCGCTTGGACTCCTAACAGGATTTTCTTGGACTCCTTGGTTAAGTTTTTGCACCTGTATAAGAAGGAAGAGTATTAAAAGGATGTACTGGGCTTTGTACAGCTCTAAAAAAAAAAAAAAAAAAAAAAAATTCTACATATACCTGTACCTCTGCCTTCCCTGTGTGTCTCCTTGGGTTGCTGGGCCACCCTCTTAAGTTGGTGTCAGTGGACAAATGCAGCTTGCTTCCAGTGGCATTCTGCATGTATTTGATATCAACTGTAGATGCTTCGGAGAGCATTTTGAGTTCACTGATGCGTATGGCCTACAGTTTTCTTGGTGAATCGGTCAAAATTCATGCTGTAGATGACCCTGTAAGCACCGCCTGGCTCAACAAAATTTGATTTAAAAATTGATGACGCCAGATGCAAAATTCTTGGCTGACCAGTGGCTGGATCCTAGCAGATGCAGCCATTGTTGAGGTATGCAGGCAGCCACAGGTACGTTGACTGTTTGAGTACAATAGCCGGCAATGTAGATTCTTTCATCCACGCTGTTAGCATAGATGGTGGGAATTGACTGACATCTCATTCAGCCCATGAGAAAGCTGGCACCCGTGTGAACTCCTGGTCACCAAACATGCCACATCGATTAGTTGGCTTGAGTTGGGAAGAACAATATGGAGGGTTTCTACATTCAACGGAAGATATCAGACCATCTGTGGCCAGGCTTGGTGCTCTCATATTTGGGATCCACTGAGTGCCCACATCTGGCTAAAGCTACCAGAGTACTCATATTTTATAAATGAACCAAACAATAAGTGAAGATTATTTACCACTCCTTTTTTTGCTAAGAACCAGATAGTAAAAAATGTTACTTTTTATAAATTAAGATCCATATTTATTTATTTACATACTCTTCTGGATCTTTAGCACTGTCCCTCTTTTCAGGTGTGAAATGTTGAAGTCTTCTGTCTGCTTCACATTACAAAAGGGAATACAGAAAACACCAACAGAATTTTACTGCTATTCTTACAGACTAGATACAACCAGCTGGAATAAAAATATAGTTTATCAATAAATGGATGTTGTGTTTTGAATGTTATTTCTCATGAAGGAGTCACTTTGGTCTCTTCTGCAGTCATCCATTTTGGGGCCCATTGATTACACACCTCATAACATACTAGTAGGTTTGTAGAATGGGGGAAGAAACTGGAACACCAGTTAAAGCACACTGAAAGAGAAGTGTAATGATTATTGAGGGTCCAATTAAACTTCCATATTACAGTAACATACACATTACGTGTTGCAGTGACATTTATTTCAGTGTGGCACCCCAATGTATTAAAGAAACACACCTGCAGTGCAACACACAATAGTGCATTGTGTTGCAAAAAAAATCATATCTGATTTTTTTGATTTTTTTTTTTTTAATATATGGGTTAGGGATGCACCGAAATTTCGGTGGCTGAAACGTTTCGGCTGAGAACACCCCTTTCGGCCTTTGGTCACAATGAAAAAAGGACTGATACAGGTGCCGAAAAAACCCCGCCCCTCACTGCCAGCCACTACCGCTCGGTAGTTCAGCCTTACCTGAGAAACCATCGATTCCAGCGCTGGGCATAGAGATGAATGAAGGAAAGATGGCTGACACATCTCTATGCCCTTGGAGGACCAGAGCGATGTCACTTTTTTTTTTTTTTTTTTTTTTTTAAAGCACTAGATCAATGCTTTTTTTTTTTTTTGATCCAATGCTTTACATTGCAGTGGAGAGATGTTGGGTCTTATTGACCCCATATTTCTCCATAAAGAGGACCTGTCACTAATTATTTCTATCACAAAGGATGCATGCATTTCTTGTGATAAGAATAAAAGTGATTAATTTTTTTTTTAATAGGACAGTGCAAAAAAAAAAAAAACATGAAATTTTGTTAAGTTTAAAGTCCCCCCGTGCTCTCACATAGTGGTGAACTCATATGTAGGCCATGCCCACATATGTAAATGGTGTGCAAACCACACATGTGAGATATCGCCACGAACGTCAGAGCAAGAGAAATAATTTGCGCACTAGACCTCCTCTGTAACTTCACACTGCTAACCTGTAGAAATTTTTAAAGCATCACCCATGGAGATAAGTACTACAGTTTCACGCCATTCCACGAGCATGCACAATTTTAAAGCGTGACATGTTGAGTATTTACTTGCTGTAACAACCTCTTTCATATTTTACAAAAAAATTGGTATATATTGTTTTTATTTTAATCAAAGTGTGTTTTTTCCACAAAATATATATTCATTTTTAAAAACTGCTTGTTTCGGTTTTCGGCCAAGTGCATTTTGAATTTTTGTTTTCAGCACCAGAATTTTCATTTCGGTGCACCACTAATATGGGTCCATGCAGGTTTATGCCATAATGGGTGCACTGCATACTAGCACATTATAGCAGACTTTTTAAACAGCCATTTGATGCTTCTATCTTCACCCAGTACACCTTCCAGGTTTGCACTCTCTGGCCGCTTGAATGGCCAAGCCCCAATGATGTCACTCCTGTGCATGCACACGTCATGATCGTGGTATGGCACAGTCTAATGTGCCCTACGTAGTGATGTCATTTGCTGGAGCCGATGTGAATATCTCCTAAACGGTGCAAATTTAGGAGATATTCCAGCTACCTACAGGTAAGGCTTACTACAAGGTTACCTGAAGGTACAAATTTTAGGTTCGTTTACTACCCCACATGATGACCACCAGAAAGCTTCATAGCACACATTAAGGTGTCTTTCTTGGAGATGTAAAAACTCTAAAAACTGCAAGGAGGAAATGTTAAACAATGCCATATAAACAACCCACATGGAAGAAAAATATATTTGAAATATATTTTAAAAATATTCTTCCCAAATATATTGCCATATGTTTGAAATGTTACATTTTTGGCCATATTCAATATATTTCAATTAAAAAAAAAAAAAAAATATATATATATATAGCATGTTGAAATGCGTTTTTATTACAAAATATACGAAAAATATGTTTAAAAATACACTTCAAATATACTGTATGTCTTTAAAAATACAAATCTACATTTTTGGAATGCATTTAAAAAGACAGTATATTTGACGTATTTTTAAAAATATTTTTCATATATTTTGTAATAAAAATGCATTTCAACATTGTGTGTGTGTAAAATATATTGAATATGGCCAAAATTGTAGCATTTCAAATATATGGCAATATATTTGGGAAGAATATTTTTTAAAATATATTTGAAATATTTTTTTCTTCTATGTGGGAACATACTTGCACAGAGATGGGTTAGTTCTGGAATCACTAAATGGCGGACCGCAGTCCGGGCCCGGACTGAGCAACAGTCTTGTTCAAACCATGGTTGTGTCACTTATCAGCTGTGTGTCCTCTCCCGGGTTTACGGCCTGGCTGCTGCTATCATCCTCACAGCGGGCGGGGTGGGAAGTTTTGCACATCTGCACAGAGTGGGAGCCTTCTAGTTAAAAAGCAGGTAATCACCTGCTTGTTCACCTGATAAGTGAGCAGCTCCCGCTCTCAATCCAGATCTGCAGCATCTCCCGCCCCAGCCTGCGGTGGCTGGAGCCCTGGGAGGAGAGAACAGCCAGGCTGGTAAGTGCCTCTGTCCTGGTAGGACTGTGCAGGGGAGGCTGCAAATCTAAGGGGGACTATGACTACGAGGGGTACTATGCCTTCAAGGGCAACTAAGGACATTGTTACTGCTGTAAAGGGGGACTTTGGACACTGATGTGAAGACACTGATGTACAGGGGGCACTGTGATGTGTTCTAGCACCAACATGAGATTCGGACCTCGTCTGGAAAAAAAACTTACCAACTGGACCGCCGTTAATTAGACAAAAATACACACTCCTAAATGTGGTAAGAAGTTTTTTTATTTTTACAGACGTCTGTACATGGTATCTGTCAGCTAACTGCAAGAAACAACTTTCAACTAATTTGGCATTTATTGTAGCTAAATAGTTATTAAAAAAAAAAAAAAAATAGGCAAGTGTGCGTTTGTGTGCCTAAGATACATGGGAGACTTGTAATATCTTGGTCAAGCTACTAAAATCGCTAGCAATTAATTGGTTAGATTAGTGGCTGATCCGCTGAACAGATGGATTTCCTATTCTGTCATTTCAGCTGGGACTCACTTCACTTTTTCTGCACCTTTTACTTGCTAGACCAGCCCTTCTCAACCTTTTTTTTTTTTTTACCACCAAGGAACCCTTAAAATAAAATTTAGGTCTAAAATTTAGGATAAAACCAATTCACCTAAGGTCAGTGATAAAAAAATATTGAATCTATTAGTGGTCAGCATGAAAAAATGTCCCCCTTAAATAAAAGCTAAAAAGATCATAGGTGTCATACTGCTGATTTGTTTTTGGGGGTTTTTTTTAGAACTATGAAGGCACCATCAAATCAACCACAGCCCAAAGAACTTCTAACAGCTGCTGGAGGAACCCTAGGTGAGAATGGTTGAACTAGAGTAGACTAACTTATTTACACATTGGAAAAAAATAATGACTTTCTTATACAAGTCCCTATGTTTGTGTTGCAAGCTATTGCTCTCCTAAAATGTATGTAAACCCTAACAATTATCTTCTCTTATTTGCTCTCTTTTGGTCTGTTAAAGTGTTACTAAACCCACAACAGTACAATCAGTCTGTATATGCAGTAAAACATGCTTGTTATACTTGCTGGGGTACCTAAGGGGTTAATCCTCTTGTTCAAATGCCCACGCTGATCAGATAGACCAAACCGTGCCCTTCTGCACATGCTCAGTTTAGTGTGTATTGCTAGCTTTTTTTTTTTTCTTTGGAGAGTGCATGTGATCAGCACAGGGCCAATCGGCACTGTCCAGACAGAGCTCGGGGGATTTCCATCCTCCTAGAGCAAATTCCTCCTGCAAGCTTTAACCAGTGCTCAGCTGAAGTCACAAGACTGCTCTAACTACTGATGAGAAAAGGTATTTAGCAGTTTATATATTTACTAAAACAATTCATCTTCCATGTTC